ATTGGAATAAGGTCTAAAGGTTTCCTAGACTTATAACCATGAATAGCTTCGATGGAACTTGTACCGATAAATCGATGCACAAAATTGTTATATGCAATTCAAATTATTGGGAGGATCAAATCCCAATTCTCAAGATTTTACTAGAAAAGGACATGACTACACAAATCATTCGTACCTTTGGGTTGGAAAAGAGTATGACACACAACATTTAACTGAGGGGTATCAGGAACAAGGGGTACAACCCCTAGATTCATAGAAAAAGTCCTGATACTACATAAGGAAGTGTCCTCAATATCATTCAAGTCATCACATTCTTCAAATTTAGGTTCATAGATTTGATCTTTTAATGACTCTTCTATTACATCCTTTCGTTCTTCTATGACTAATGTTCGGTTAGGACATTTGGAAGAGATATGACCAAAGTCCTTTTGGCTGATGCATAGCAGTTGAGAAGAAGTCTCTGGAGTTTCAAAAATTTTACTCTTATTTTCCAAGATTTGAGGAACATTAGACGGGGGAGGTCCTAGAAGAGACTTAACAGGTGGAGGTGGAGCTAATGAGACGGAAGAATGGTTATCAATACGCCTTCTATAAGGAGAAGGGGCCTTGGACTATCACGACCTTTACACTTATTTTTCCAAATGGGAGGAACACTAGACGAGGGAGGTCCTAGAAGGGACTTAACAAGAGGAAGTGGAGCCAATGAAATCGAAGGATGATTGCCGTTACACTTTCTACATGAAGAATACGACCTTGAGCTATCACGACCTTCACACTTATTTTTCCAAAGGGAAGGAACACTAGATTGGGAAGGCTCTATGATAGACTTATGATGAGATGACGCTAATGAGATGGGTGAACGCTGGTGATCACGCTTTTCATATGCAGTACTAATAAGTAACTCGTATTCCCGAGCTGAAGAGTAAGCTTGATCAATAGTAGTGATGCCTCGAAAGAAAAGCTCACACCTAAGTTCATCTCGTAGACCTTGTATAAACCTACTTAAAGTCAGGGCCTCATCCTCGACGACATGACATTTCACTCGAAATTTCTTAAATTGAGCAATGTATTCAGTTACTAGCCGATTCTCTTGTGTAAGGGTGTTCCATTGGGTAAAAATTTCATGATCTAAACAACCATCGAAAGTAGGAGTATCTAAGTCAATGTCTCTAAAGAAACGCTCATCATGATGGCCTTGTTCTCGCTCACGAACCTGATCCCTATTCCTACGATCGTGTCAAAAATATTTTTGATCACTTTGTCCACAATGATATTGTCTATTATGAGACGCTTCAGAATTAGTGTCAATCAAACGAGGGGTTTGCTTAAAATTGCTCAACTTATCAGCTAGTTTCTTTCTCTCACGAGTAGCAATTATATCTGATTGGATAGTCGATAGGCTAGTGGCAAGTTGCACTAATTGTCTAGTGAGTGCATCAAATGGGAATGGATCCATGGTCAATGTATTGAAAATAGAGACGATAAGACGACCACTACGCAACTACATGCAATGTAATACCAGCTAAATGTTTTGCAATGATGAGATCAATGAACAATAAATGTAAAAAATGAAAAATAACAAACAAAGCATTTTTTTCAGGGTTAAATAAATTCAAATATGGCAAGCTAATACTGCTGATCTATGTAAAATAATAAAGCACGGATCAAATACTAGTTAAAAACTAATCATGTAACATAAGTAGGGTAAAATAGGGTTTTGACAAAATCAACTGATTGAGTCACGTGACTTTAGAAATATTGGTAGAATAACATCACAAAAATTTAATTAATGCAATTTTAAATGAAGCAGTATTGTAAACCAATGACAAATATAAATCAAGCACTCCCTATTGTTTAGTGGCAGCGATGGTGCCCACGGAAGCTCAAACTTGATGGCGATGTACTTCAGGACCCAAAGAATCAAAACTGTGCCCAATTATGATTCCCCAGTTGGCACGTCTCCAGTAGAAAATTATAATGGAATACTCCTAAGTAGTCGAGTCACTGAATGGAACACTAATCCTCAAGAGCTTTAACAAGCTGTCCCAATGCAAATAATAAGTCAAATCCAATTCAACAAATCTCCCTGGCACTCTGAACTCGGAAGAAGTCCACCGATGTGAAAAGTAAAGCGAAAACTGAACTTCGGGTGACAACTGGCGTGGCAGTGGGTTGCTAGCGATTGGCGGTGAGGGCGGTCGCAGAAAGTGTGGTGACTGTGGGATACCGACGAGGAAGGAGGAGCTTAGGGTTTGGGTTGATTGGGCATTGTAGATGTGGGCGGGGTTAAGTGTTATATATAATGGGCTAGGGTTATGGGCTGCGCGAATTTGGGACCGGTTATGGGTTGAATGGTGTTGGGCCGATTGTGATAATATGTGATAAGTGGGTTGGATTTAGTGTTTATTGGGCTGGAAAACAAGTGGATTGGCTAAATACATGATGAGAGATGGGTTGTGCATTTAGTGGGCTTTGGGAGTAATTTGGACCACTAGCTTATAGCCCAAATGTTTTAATAAAAAAAATGAATGGAGTAGGTTATAGAGATGAAATATATGGGCTGAAGGGCTAAGTGGGCTTGAATGCTAGGGTTTAGGATTTGTGGAACATCACAATTATTTTTTTTTATTTATGAGCAACAGTAGCTGGAAAAAAACGAGATTTTTTTTTTTTAGGGCGTGAACAGGAACTTTTTTTTTGAAGCTGATAATACAAAAAAAAGAATTTTCGGGTGTGAATAGTACCTTTGAACAGTAACACGAATTTTTTTTGCTGCTAGGGTGTGAATTGAAATTGCAGAAAAAACCTAGATTTTGGATTGGAGATGAGAGATTACCGAAGTTTAGGCTCTGATACCAAATTTGATGCAGCACCAACGAGATAATTAATTGAGAAATAGAACAGATCTATAGGGAGAGGGAATTAAAGAGAAGAATGGGGAATTAAAGGGGGGGAAGAAGAAGAATTTAACAGAAGAGAATAGAATAAGGGGAGGGATGCGTCATAAGCTGCCAAAATAATTATTCATTCATCATCAACTGAAAATTACAATGCAAAGTAGGTTTAAATAGTAAAGTAATCCTAACGAGCTTGGGCCCGAGCCCATACAAGTCTAAATTTAAATAATAGTCCAAGAAAATAAATAAAGTTTAAATAAAATAAGTAAACGTGTCCGATGTCCTCATCACAATGTCAAATAAAATAATTCTCTAAACTGCTCTAAAGTCCTTATTTGATCATCAAAACAGCGTCTGTTTCTTTCTCTCCACACATACCAAACAATGAAGCCTGGAATAAGGTCCCAAACAAATTTACTTTCTTTGTCACGAAACTTTCTTCTACATGCCTTCAACATATCTTATATACGCCTTGGCATTACCCAATACATATGTTGATAAGCCAGAATATCATTCCACAGCAAACGAGCACCATCACAATGGAAAAACAAATGGTCAATCGTTTCCCTATCTTTTTTGCACATATGACACCAATCTATAATATAAAACCCCCTCAATCGAAGATTATCCGCCGTTAACATTTGTCCCCTCACTACCGTCTATAGTAAAAACGTCACCCTTGGAGACAGTTTACTCTTCCAGACCCTCTTCCAATGGAATGAATTCTCTGCAGATCCCAATAAGGATATAAAATAAGTGCTAACTGAGAAAATGTCATCTCTTGCCAGCGTCCACCTGATGTGGTCACTCTCTCCTACCCTGATATGCACTTCATACAAAGAGGTCAATAGCAGGGCATAATCATCCACTTCCCAATCTTGTAATCCCCTCCCAAAAACAATGTTCCAGTTGACAATATCGTCAAGACTTCAATTTATGCTTCTTAAAGCTTTCTCATGATTTTCACTTTAGTACTTAAAACTTTTTAAAAATTGCTAAAGTGCGCAATAATTGACTTTTCCCAAATAATAATCTCTTAAAACCTATATTTGCACTATAATAGTATTTTTTTTTTTTTCAACCAATAGGATAATTTTTCTAATTTGCACTTAGCTCCTTAAAAGTTTTAAAACATGCTAATTGCCCTAGAAGCTTCTTAAAATCACATAATGCCCCAAATTACACTGTAAAATTTCGGGGTATTAGCCAAACATAGGTAAAAACGTATCATGCGCATATAGAGACAGAAGTATGCAAGAAATCTTCCTTCTCATTGTATTCCTCATTCTTGCCTCCATGACTTTCACCCCTTCTCTGTACCCTTATCAACATGGTCATTCTACTCCCACCTCATTATACCTCTCATCCTCATGTTCAAGCCCCTCCCAACCTCAAGACATGGCTCCCCATTCTGATCTGTCAAAGACCTTGCATTTTTCCTACACTCTGTAGTCAACATCATGCTTGTTTCAACTTTGATACTCCTAGCATGTGTCAAAATATTGTGGTTTCCTGCATGTACCTTTAGAAGTTCTTCCTAATGGCCCTCAAAAATTTTTTTTTTTTTTTTTTTTAACTAGTTTTCTTCCCAGCCTTGCCCTGTTATTTTTCGCTTATTGTGTTTTACTCTCTTAATTTCTGAGGCAAGCCTACTGAAGCAAAAATGAATTTTATTACTCAGAGTAAGTAATTATTAAACTATAATTGGCCTGCAATCTGCTCTCCATGTATGCTGTTAAACCATCCTGGAGTTGTGTACTTTTTTAACCGTTTGCTGCAGCTAGGTGTATTAGACTTTTCATGTGCCACAATCTAGAATTATATCTTTTTTGGAAATTTAGAACGCATTTGAACTGATTGTCATTTACTTTACACTTCAAGTGATTGAAAATTCGAAGCAAGATATGGTTAATGGCGATATTAAAGAATTTAATCTGGATAACATTCCTTATCATATCATGCTTGATATTATGACTTAATTGGAATTCAAAACGCTGTTTAGCTTTTATGCTTAACTGTAGAATATATTTTTTTGGCTTTTGCAGGATCCATATCCAGAGTACAATCTATTTGGCACCATTGTACATTCAGGCTTTTCACCTGATTCTGGGCACTATTATGCATATATCAAGGTCTTGTCCTTCTCATCTAAGTCAGTTACATTCCTTATTTTTTTTCATGCAAGTTCAAGTCAACTGGCAACTCTTTTCATGGGCTGATTTCATTTTCAAACTTTCAGGATGCATTGGGCCATTGGTACTGCTGTGATGATTCTTATGTTTCACTCTCTACATTGAGGGAGGTTTTGTCAGAAAAGGTCTATATCCTTTTCTTCTCTCGTACGAAACAGAGGCCACGATCAGCCAACACAGATTTGGTAGCCAATGGATTAATGCCCCATGAGTTGAATGGCAGTACTACAACCAAGATTCAAAAGTCGGGTTATTTAGAGAAACCAGCGGGCTCAAAACAATTTTCTGACTGTCATATTGAGGCAAATAATTCTACCAAATCCATTGAGACCAATGGCCATGACACATCCATAACCCAAAAGTCAGGTGGTTTGGTGAAGCCACTGAGTATGGAACAAGATCACTATGACAATTCAATGACAAATAATTCGATCTCATCTAAGGTCGATAAAGGGCATTCTAGTCCCGAAAGGAAGTTCAGTGTCTCTGAGAAATCAAGTATCGAAAAGCTCCCTGCTACGCGGAATATGAAAATTGTTGTTCACAAGAGAGAGTCCAATGGAAAAATTGGCAATGCTGCACCATCATTTACTCTGACGGGAAAAGATAAAAAAGTGGAGTCTTTAACTGAGAGAAATGGTGTGAGCAAAATTAAGTCAATAACATCAATTCATGTTGATAAGAATGGATCCTCTCCCATGGCAAGCAGTAACGGAAATATTAGGAGTATGGAACATGATACCTTAGATGGAAGTCTACGTGGAGCTAATGACACAAAAACCACATTGGCATCAGCAAGAACTCCGGATTGTCAGGATTTGCTGAATGGTTGTAGCAACAACCCCTCTAATAACTCCGGATTGAAGAGGAAAAAACAGGGAGATCTGTGCATTTTGTTTGCCAAAGATGCTAAATCATGTGCAGAAGTGGAAGCATTCAAGGAATTGTACGTTACTTTTGTTTCTGAAGCTTTTAATTTCTTTCCCCACCATTGCACCTTTTTTTGATATTATCGAGGAAAGCTTGAAACTTGGACATATTTTTCACTTCATTTACTCTGGAAGTCATTTAAGATGGCATCTTCGATAAGCAGTTTACAGTAGTGAAACAGTTCTCCCTAACAAAAAATTCCCCACATCTTTTAAGATTTGTGTGTGCCATTGTTGCTTCTTTTTGCCATGGATCAGTCCAAACTACTTTTTTGTTGGGGATTATTTTTCTTGTCATAATTATCATTTGTTTTTCGTGAACTATATTATCTCTTAGAATCTTGTGAGGCGTCAAAATACTTCAATTTACGTTCTCTTCTTGTGGCCATGATTCTTTATCGAAACTTTGACATTGGTTTATTACCCAAGATAATTTGTTTAAACCAAACTCTATTTTCATTGGGAAAATTACACTTGGGTTTCCCACCTTTGTGCAGTGTAGTACCTTTGTCCCCAAATTCCACTTGTGTGTTGAATGTGGAAAGGTTTTATTTGTGTGTTCATCCTTGAACAGTGCGATCCTTCTCATATTTCAACTGTTATGAAAAGTTAGCATATCTTGGCTGCATAATTTGAAAAGATAATTATATCACCTTCATTTTGCAGCTTTATTTGTGTGTTGAATGTGGAAGGTTTTGCTTCTTTCCATAAGTACTGATAATATTTCAAATGGATGTCGCTCATATTATGCTTCAACAAAGTGATTACTAATTATTGCTTTTTGTATCCTTCAGAATTGGGAAAGAAGCTTCCTTATTTCTGCGATCCTGTGGTTGGTCTGATGAAGTTTCTAAATTCATGCACTCGAGCAAAAAGTTGTGTGCAAAAGAAGCAGGCAGTGAGACATTGCATGACCATGAGAAGAAGTAAGTTTTTGCATCTCTGGCTTGTTTAAAATATGATTGTTTATCTTTAGAGTTTATTCGTTTTCTGTGCAAAGGGGCATTTGATGCATTGCGCCTTCGTGTAATAGTTCCGCTTTTTGATTGTCATAGATATAGTAATAAATTGGTAACAAGTTGGTAACAAGTAACAACTATTCTCAATCCTCGTAGTCTCAAAATCAGAATTATTGAACTTCCTTTTATGTAGCTTAAAATTATTGATAAAACAGAAAAATCATCGTATAGTTGAAATCATTGACACAAGTGATCAGCATTTAATCACCTGATATTAGTTTTGAATTTATAATTCTTCATATTGACTAACATCACATGGGACAGCATAGTTGTCTTTGACTAGGCCTCTTTCTTTAAAATTCCCGTCATCTCTCTCTTGCCAAGCGAACTTGATTCTGATTAGTTATACCTTAAATAGCTATCTAATGTTGAAAATGTTTTTGGCGCACCAAGTACCGACAATGACCACTTGATGGCAATGTGGTGCCCACATTTTATGAAAATTACCAGTGTGAACTATAGAAAGGCTGCAACACGAGATACTAGAATATTGAGCTGGTATGTAGGAACAAATTAATGTTACATCAAAAGCATGAATGTGCTTCCATAAGGAAACAATTATTCTATGTTGAAAATATGAATTTTATTCGAGTGATGACTAGTCAAAGAAAGAAGAATTAATGACTCAGGATAAGATGACTATAGCACAATAATCCTCTGCTTTGTGCTGGTTATGTGCATCAACAATTAGATCATAATATTAATTATAGCTCTTGTTTTAATCTCATCTTGAATATTATGAATATGATTAACAGAGTTACAGAGTTCAATAAATGTCTTTAATAGCCAGCACTTTGAGATCAGTAAGAAAATATAACAATCAAATAATTAGTGAGAAAAGCAATTTTGTAGCCAAATTTGTAAATGCTATGGATTAATAGAACTTCACATCTTATGTTACTCAAGGCTTGATGAGCAGATATTTGTTCCTTTAATATTGATCAGATTCAAGATCAACAAGAGGAAATTTGTTAATTAGGTTTAGAGATGAAAGATTTATCATGTATATAGTATTTTATGGTGCTCAGACTCTTCACTTTGAGCACCAAACCTGTCCCGAGACGCCATGACAAAGTACTGGTTTAGGATATGGACAAGATCCTTCAATTTGCAAGCGAACACGCAACCTAGGATGGTTGCACGGTAGCCGTGCCACCACACCAGAATTTCACATTGTAAATGAAACGATCAATATTAGCGGAATATTAATGGAAGTGAAGAAATAATCTTGAAGAAATGTTAATTCTCGTGATGAGTGATGTTGAAACCTCAAATCGAAGGAAGAAGACGAGAAGATTGATTTGTCATTGTTGACCACTCAAAAGCATTTGTTACAGGAAAGACACGATGACATAGGAAAGATGAGAAGATATTTGTAGGGGAAAGTGGGAGAGACGAGGAAGGAGGAAAGGAAGCTTGTGAAATTGAAAATTTGGTATGATGCTTTAGGAACATAGGGTTGGGGGACGGAGATGAAGGGGGATGTTCTTTGTGAAATTGGTGGGGGGAACGATTGGACCCTTTTTACAAGGGTGAGGAATTAAAGGTTTCTAGAGGGATCATCAAGGGGAAATTTATTAATTAGGGTTTAGAGATGGAAAAATTATCATGTATATATTGGTATCAAATCCTGAATTAGTAACGAGTTAAAAGAATGATGGGATTGTAGGAAGTACGGTTTCTTGCATTTATTACTAATGAACTTTTCATTTTTTTTTCCTACCTCTTCTCTACTTCATATTTTTGCAAAGACAATTAGTTAAAATGTCCTCCCTTGATTTTGGGCAAGGGTGTTATCCATTTGAGAAGCCCATGAAGTGAAATTATTTTACTTTTTGGAAACCTATATTAACTTCAAACAGATTTGATCAATTTTAAACCCAAGTTAGGGCCACTCTATCAAGGAGTAAGACCAATATATTCGTCACTTGGACTTTGAACATGGTAATATGTCCCAGAATGAAAATTTGACTAAAAGATCTTCTAGGAATTTGACATCTAACTAGCTTGGGGTATATTGCACCACTTGAATAGCATTTTAAGATTGAATAATATCGTTGAGGTAGTGCGCCCTTATACCATGGTATCTACTCCTTCCCCAAGTGAGGAACCATAGGTTATACAATCGGAAAAGTTTGGTATGCTATCCTTATCCTTTTCATCTCTTCATCCTTGACAAATGAGCTACAGGCCTAATGGGGCACTACAAGAGACATTAATGAAAGAAGAGGAGGATGTTCCATGGGATATTTCATTAGTAGGTGAGCTACATGCATTATCAGTAATGCTCTACGCGAATGATAAGAAAACTTAATGAGAACTCCAGAGCTTGATTAGATGCCAATGAGAAAAGAAGGCAAACATAATCCGTATATCCACGTTTAAGGGGTTGAGATTTAGATCATTTACATTGAGGGGAACAAGGCACTAATTACTCCTAGAATCACGTGCCTTGATAGTCAAGAAGGTGCTTAATCGTTGGCATACCAAATTCCATTGGATCATATTAGTTCTCCATGTTTGAATTTGGCATGGATATAAGTTTTTTATTATACTATTCTTGATGATAAATTGATTTGTTAGCTTTGTTATATGATATTGATTTGATTTTGCTATGATCAAGAAGCAATTCATTATTGAATATAGAGACTAAAGATTTATTATCTATACAGGATTAAATACCGAGTTATTGTGAAGTAGCTAATGCATTTACATTATTGTTTTTACGTCGTTTGTACTTCATTCACATAAAAATAACCATAGATGAAATACAGAGTTATCGTGAAGTAGCTAATGCATTTACATTCTAGTTTCTACCTTGTTTGTACTTCATTCGTATAAAAATTACCATAGTCAAGTCAAAATGTTCCATCTTCATCTGTGAAGGGAGTAGAAAGCTTAGAAGCCCATGAAGTCAAAATTATCCTAGTCTTAAGAAATCAATATAAAGTTGTTAACCATCTCATGTCAAAATCTTTTTGTCCTGGTCTGGTACCATATTAACCATCTCATTTATAAATTTAAGCTATTAAAGAGAATTCACATATATTCGTTTGATTTTTAGGCAATTAGATCTCAAGTTCTTGCTAAGTACCCACTAAATTATGGAAGTAAAGTTTCTTGCATTTATTGCTACTACACTATTCATCGTAGTTGCTGCTCCTTTTCTATTTATCATTTAAGTGAAAGTTTTTGTTCAAAATTATGACAACGCCATTCGAGAAGCCCATGAAGTCAAAATATTGTAGCTTTTAAGAAACCTAGCTTCAATTGGAACTAGATCGACCAATTTAAAAGTTCTATAATTTCTCAATTACTTGAATCACTTCGTGTTAGTGCTTGAAGTGAATGATATTGGTAGTTTCTTGAATTAATGCTACTACACTATTCATTGTAGTTCCTACTCCTTTTCTATTTATCATTTAAGTGAAAGTTTTTGTTCAAATGATGGCAACGCCATTCGAGAAGCCCATGAAGTCTAAATATTGTAGTTTTTAAGAAACCTAGCTTCGGTTGGAACTAGATCGATCAATTTAAAAGTTCTATAATTTCTCAGTTACTTGAAAGTTATCGTTTTCACTTCATGTTAATGCTTGAATTGAATGATATTGTTATTCATGCTATTGCAATGATTAGATCATCGAGAGTTTCATTATCGTATTTACATGCAAAAAATTTACCATAAAAATCCAGAGTGAATTGCGAATTTAAAAAAAAAAAAAAAAAAAAAAAAAAAAGAGGATTGGAAGTAAATATTTTTGCATTTGTTACTACTGCACTGTTCCTTTTAGTTCTTAAAACTCTTATGCTCATCATTACGTAAAAAAGTCGCTCACAATGTTCACCCTTTATCCAAGAAGGGTATAGAAGCTGTACTTGAAGGCCATGTGGTCAAAATCATCGTACTTGTAAGAAATGTCGATTCACTTGGAACAAATTTGATCAATTAAAATTTTCGTATAGTTTCTCATTGACTTTTGGAGTTATCATTTTCCTTTTTAATGCTTTAACAACTTCAGAAGTCATCCAAATTTTCATTTTAACTTTCTTGCTTGTTTCATATATTATCTTAAAAGGGTGCCTTAGCATATTTCTTATTTTCATTCAATTCGTCCCTTTTCCTTCCTTGAATTCATCCTGAAATTCAAATCATCATTCTGGACCCTTTTCCAATCTGGTACATGCCCTTTTTCGTAAAATTTAAAGGATGCATTACATGTTTTTTCCCCAAGATGCTGTGCTTGTATTTTCTCCAGGGTGATGTGTTTTCATGTTCAATTCATGTTGTGCCAGTATTTTTTCCATGCTTAACTTTTTGGAACACAACCAATCTGATTGTGTCAAGTATTATGGTGAAGGCAATAATCATTCATCACAGTGAAAAAGAGCAGGAAGATAACTGTTGATTTGGACAATCAATATTTTGCAGTTTGAATTACCTTTTATGTCACTTATCAATGATTGAGAGAGGTGGTTTGTCACCCTGGATACCATTGGTGATGGAGTTTCATACTGTTACTGAGGAGTTAGATTTAAGAGAGATGTAGTTTCTCACCCCATATACATTAGTGATGGAGTTTTATATTGTTACTGAGTTATATTCTTAGATAAAATTAATTGGTCGCACTAGTTCATGATTGAGTGAAGTAGGAATGTCCTGCCCCCGCCCCCATCTTGTTGGGTATTTTTGTCTCCTATCCCCACCTCCATACTCAATTAAGGCAAGGCGTGGTTGGGCAGGTCCCCTATCCGTTTGCTGTCCTTTTTTTTTTTTTTTAAATTAAATTTGCATTTATCTTTCAAATGTTTTTAGTTGGTGAAAATAATTTCTTCTTTTCAAATTGTAGAAAAATTAATACTTCCTTTAGAAATGATCTTTTTGCATGATAAAAAACTGGTATTTTGAAATGAAGTTTAAATGGGGCAAGTAACGAGACGGGGACCATGTTCCCGTACCTGCCCGCCCCCATCTCAGGGCAATGACTTCTGTCCTGTCCCATCCTTCCCGCATGTACCCTATTAGGTGGGGAATGGGGGCTGGCCCCGCGGGTATTGGATATAACAGGGTTTTTTTTGCCATCCAGAGTGAAGTACACATGTATTTTCCTAGAAATCTTTCTATTCTTTTCCTTAATTTATCCAAATTGGAAACTCCAACTCATGTATATGGTGTGACTGCAGGAGGCTGTTGATTTGTAGTGCGAAGCCAAAGTTTATTTCAAAAATTCCTGAGTCGCTGAAGGCCAGCCTAATTGAGCGTCTCAAATCTTTTAGCCGAGATCATCAATCGTCCAGATCTTAAGCAAACAGGTCTGATATGTAGTTCGTATGTTCAAGTTTTAAATTATTCAAAACTTACAAGCCAAATAAATTAAAATGTTACCACTCTCTCCAACGTTAGTAAATGTATCTGCGAGTTTTTGACAAGTATCAAATCCACTGATCTCACTATAAGTTTATCATTAGAGATTAGTTTTAATCATTATTTTAAAGATTAATTTTGCAGTTTCCGGACAGATGGTGGGACTGGTATTCTGTGCTGTGTATGATGATATATAGGTGATGCTAAATTGGTGATGATGAGATGAGCATTATAGCAGCATCAAAACCTCAGATCTTTGCTGTTGTAATTTCCTGTGGTGGTAGCTAATCGGCCAGTGAAAATTGGGATCAAAGAGTTCAGTTTAAAACTGGCCAAAAGTTTTCTCCTTGAGGTGGCACTGTTGGCGTTGATAGAGCAAAGAAGAAATTATCAATTTTGTACTACATTTATTTTTTCAGTCGACCAATCTGATGCATTGCAGTTTTTCCTGTAAAAAATGCAGTCGGGGATAATTTCTATTGATACTTAACAGTTACGGAAGGAGGATGTTAATATTTGCAATCTATTGAGGGAGCTTTGGCCTTATATTAATTATTTTGGTGTTGTCGTGGCTTGGGACTTTGCACGTTTTTCGGTCCCAGAATAAATCATTTTAATAGATTTTTTGTCCACCTACTTGACAAATGTAGTGTTGGTGGCAAAAATTAACTTTTTTTTAAACAGTCCAATGATTAAATGTCAAGTGGCATTATGTCAAGGAAGTGGGCAAATAATTCTAATGATTTAGCAGGGTTGCCTTCCGCAGATGAAAAATGCTAAATGACCCACAGTGGCGACCTTATGGATGACTGCACACTCGCAATCGAGGCGTGGGTCCTGCGTGGGTAAAAAAATATTTTCCTCCTCTTATGTGTGTATAATGTCAACCACGCGATCACCCGCACAGTTCGTCTAGCACGGTTCTCCGCAAATACTGTTTTCAGAGAAGCTAGTTTACTTATTTGGCATTTCATTCACTGTTTTAGATTTTGGATGTAGTTTTATTATAAAGTCTTTTAAGATGAGATTGAATTTGAGAATATTATGGCATCTAATTTTCTGGTAGTGTTGGATGTAGTTTTCATTATAACGTCATTTAAGATGAGATTTAATTTGAGAATATTATGTTACCTAATTTTCTGGTAGTGACTGAGAATGAACTGGCATATAAATGGAAGCGGTATCATTTATGTTTCGTGACATTCTTTGAGACATCAAAATTAAATAAAAAATAAACATAAACATAAAAATAAAAATAATTTCTGAAAGATGAAATTTTCATTTAAACGCCCGTTTCTTCATTTTGTAATTTTTGTTTGTAGAGGAGTATCCGTACATGTTAGTTACTTTATTATGTAGGAACTGTATTTGATAGGTTGGACCAAAAGGGTTTTTCCCCTTGCTAAATTATATTGCGCGTTACGTAACAGTGTGGCACAAACTTGTGCATTCTCGAACCTGCTAACTGAAAATATAGATGCTCAGGGCACAGGTGGCACGCCTAGAAACTTGTACCCCCAGTCCCACGCCCCCTCGAGAAATGCCTGGAAAATCTCATGCCTTCGAGAATAATCATTCGGAAAACGTATCTAATTGGCCTCCGTTTGGATAAAATTTACGAATTTCTCCTCTATAAAAGGCCAGCTACCAAGATGTAGCCATAACAGTAAAGCTCAGCTCTTTTTGGCACTTGGTGTTCATTTGTGGGCATAGTGAATCTTGGCGTGGCGGTAACAAAAATGGGTGAAGAAGTGACTCTTCTGGACCTTTGGAGTAGTCCCTTTGCGATGAGAGTTAGAATAGCCTTAAAAGAAAAAGGCATAGATTATGAATCTAGAGAAGAAGACTTGAGTAACAAGAGCCCACTTCTCTTCAATATGAACCCAGTTCATAAACAAGTCCCTGTTTTGATCCATAATGGGAAGCCAGTATGTGAGTCTATCATAATTGTCCAGTATATTGACGATGTCTGGAAGGACAAGGCTCCTCTCCTGCCTTCTCATCCTTATGAACGAGCTCGTGCGAGGTTTTGGGCTGACTATGTCGACAAAAAGGTACGTTTTGTTAAATACACACACCGCAAAATAACCGCTAAAAGTCATTATTTCTTGCTTAGCCCTTCTAAATACTTTTCTATTCTTCTTTTGTAGCTTTAGCTAAATCAGCTCAAAAAATAAATGCTTGAGCTTGAGTGAGATCTTATTAGACTGAACCACTTAGCCCTTGTTGTCAATCATTCTCTCACTTTCTACCATATTATTTTTTTTAAAACTACACATTTTTCATTAAAATAATATTACACATATATCAAAAAAAAATTTTTTTTAGCTCACACGTTTCAATATTAATTACTATTTTATACTCATATTTTTGAAATTAAAGGATCACAAACAAACAGGCCTTATCTTTATCACAGACTTTTAGACAACTGAAATCTGATACTTCTCTCTCTACTACATGACATGAGTGTGAAGAATTAATCTAGTTCTACAATCATGCTTGGCAGTGTTGATTGATAATGTTAATATTGTCAAAATTTGAGTCATTAATTTTAAGAATAGTTTTTGAAATGGATGATGAATGTGGTGTTGACAAGATTGTCAATCAAAATTGTAAGAAAATATTGAACAACTAGTATGATTGCGATTACAAATATGTTATAGCTATGCTAATTTATCTTATCTTAGAAGTGATTCTTGTATAAAACTCTCAAAATACATTATGATTGTTTTAAAAACTCAATTAACGGACGTGTAGGGCACTTATGACTCCATTACAGCTCTAAACGTTTAATTCATTAGAAATATAAAACATCCTTTAAACTCTTCACGTATGGAATTGTTTACAGATATATGGCACTGGAAAGTTAGTGTGGGCGGCTACGGATGAAGTTCAAGCAGCAGCAAAGGAAGAACTGATAGAGTGCTTCAAACTGTTGGAATCAGAGGTAGGAGAGAAGCCTTATTTTGGGGGCAACACCTTTGGTCTTGTAGATGTGGCCCTTATACCATTCTACAGCTGGTTTTATGCATTGGAAACTTGTGGTAACTTGAGCTTGATTGATGAATGCCCTAAGCTTGTGGCATGGGCTAAAAGGTGCATGCAAAGGGATAGTGTATCCAAGTCATTGCCTGATCAGTACAAGATATACCAGCACCTTCTGGAGCTCAAAAAGAAAGCTTGAAGCTCAAAACGAAGGGTAGACTTTCCTTTATAATTGATCCCTCGGGATTGATCCTCATAACTTCATTTTATCTTCTTTGTTATTTTCCTTTTCGGGCTTCTGTTGGTTTTGATAGAACTGACTTCTGTGTGTGTACATATATATTCCTGATTGGTAAATAAATGTATTGATCAAATAAGTACTCCCGGCATCCCAGGCATATAGAATTTATGTTACAATTGATTTAATGACCCAAAACAAAGATTGAAATCAACCAAACATAACAATTTATTTTCTCATTTAGACAGCTAATGCCTTCGAACCAATTCATCGTTTGAGTCAATTGGATTGTGTTGAGCAGCTTGATTCTTGTCATCAAAAGTTGCCAAGAAAGGGGGCTGAAGTACTGTACACAGCAGTGGACAGTGCTGGATATCTATAGGGACGATTATATTTACCCAATCGAGTTAACCAGCTAACCATGAACCTGAAGAGCTGATGACCGATTCCATACTTACGCGCTTCTTTCCCAGGGCCCAGAAGTTACGAGGAAATACACGAAAATGGCTCTGTCACTGTAACAAAAGTTGACATTGGCCTTTGACCCATTGAATGAATTAAAGGAAAAACAAATTAAGTTAAAAAAAAACTTTACAGTAAAAGACGATTTTACTCTTTAGACTGTTTGAAAAATTTTGTCTAATCGATCGACAAAAAAGAAATCGACGCACAGTCGTCAGAAATTTGATCGATCAATCATCGGTAATTACACCAACATCGCAGTCAACGACCTTCATCTACACCGGAAATAAAATAATTGGTTAGTTTTCATGATGATTTTTTGTTTCAGTAGAAAATTTATTGAATAAGTAAATTTAACATTTTCTTTACATTATTCGGTTTAATTAGATCCATGGGCATGAATAGTTAGATTGTGGGCATGCTAGGAGCGTCAAAAATGTGGATTTTTTGCAATTTTTGAAGCTCTGTCGTCGGCAATGGCGATTTCCGACTAACCGACTGTTAACAGTCTTGGTCGACTGTTAACAATCGACCCATGACTTAACAGTCGGCCCAGACTGTTTAACAGTATACTTTGTTTTGTAAAAAATATATATATTTAATTTTTATTTGTTTTTTTATAATTTTTGTAATTAATTAAATTTTTTATTTGATTAAATAGTATTTATTTATTTATTTATTTAATTTTTATCATTGTCAATATAATATAATAATTAAAATATTGTAAAATTAACAATGTTGATCCTTTTATTTTATGAAATAATCTTTAATTTATTTTTGTCAAATTTATTTAAATAATATAAATAGTGTCATTTTTTGAAAATGTAATTAATTATTCATTAATTTTTATAATTGTCTTTTATATAATTTAATAATTGAAATATTCTAAAATTAACAATTTTGTGTTGTTCCATTTTTTTTTTTATGAAATTGTCTTTAATTTATTTTTTCAAATTTATTTAAATAATATGAATAATCTTTACATTTTAAAAAAAAGGTAAAGTAATTATTTATTTAATTTTATATTTTTCTTTTATATAATTTAATAATTGAAATATTCTAAAATTAACAATTTTGTGTTGTTCCTTTTTTTTTTTTTTATGAAATAATCTTTAATTTATTTTTTCAAATTTGTTTAAATAATATAAATAGTCTTTACATTTTTTGAAAATGTAAAGTAATTATTTATTTAATTTTTATATTTGTCTTTTATATAATTTAATAATTGAAATATTCTAAAATTAACAATTTTGTGTTGTTCCTTTTTTTTTTTATGAAATAATCTTTAATTTATTTTTTCAAATTTATTTAAATAATATAAATAGTCTTTACATTTTTTGAAAATGTAAAGTAATTATTTATTTAATTTTTATATTTTTCTTTTACATAATTTAATAATTGAAATGTTCTAAAATTAACAATTTTGTGTTGTTCCCTTTTTTTTATGAAATAATCTTTAATTTATTTTTTCAAATTTATTTAAATAATATAAATAGTCTTTACATTTTTCGAAAATGTATTTAATTTGAAATTTTTTGTTTGTAAATATATTTTTCAAATAATAATTATTTTATTTAATTATTTAATTTTTATAATTGCCTTTTTTTATATAATTTAATAATTGAATACATAATATTGTTCGAAATTAACAACTTGTTTTGTTCCTTTTATTGTTCTTTTACGAAAATCTTTGATTTTTTTTCAATTTGTTTAAATAATATTTATATTCTATAATTTTTTGACAATACATTTAATTTGATTTGTTGTTTTTTGTAAATATATTTTTCAAATGTAATATTTGTGATTGTATGGTAGTTAGAGTTCGTTTCCCTTGATTTTGTGAGATTATGCTTTCTTTTATTATCTCTTGTTCAATGCTATAACATTTGAATTTTTGTAGGATGGAGTATCATTTAGATGCAGAGTTGGGACGGACAGCGGGGAAAGCTACTTGGAACAGTAGCTTTGAGAGTTTTACTGTTGTGTTGGAGCTGCTCGATGATCAGCACGGAGATATGCTACGACAATCCTTCTTGTGGCCACTGTACCAGTTGCGAGAGGTGTCATACTCAGGACAGATCATTGATGCACTTCTATGTCGACTTTTGAGACTAGTCGACAACGATTCCCTCCAGTTCGACCTCGGGGGCAAGGTCGTTAGTTTCTCGATGTTTGAGTTTACATTAATCACTGGATTGAGGATTACGGGAGACGATGCAACCATGGAGAGAAGCAATAGGCTGTACGAGACGTACTTTCAGGGACATGGGTCGGTGCTTCTACCCGACTTGATGGTCGTAATCAGGGGGTGCGACCATATGCTAAATAGATTGAAACTTGAGCTGGTCTACATCCTCGAGAGTGTGATGAGGTGTCATCACAAGAAGACTGTCATCAACATTTTTCATTTGCAAATTGTTGACGACATCGATGCGTTCAACAACTATCCATGGGGTCGGAGATGCTACAAAGACACCGTACATGTGTTCACCAGATCGCACTCGAGGCCCAGGGGGTCGATGCGTAAATACAATACATATGGATTGCTCTTACCGGTGCAGGTAAATGTTTAACGCATCGATGTCCTGCTACAGCGCATCGACCTGGCCATGGACTTGCTGCGAGATCGAGCTCAAAGACATCCAAAATCATTTGATGTGCATGGTCGAGTCATATTAAACACCGAGTTCCTGCGTGCCGTTACCATAGAGTATCAGTCGCTCGAACTTATGGGTAACGAGTACACGGTGTCAGAATATATGCTCGAGTGGGTGATAGGACTGTCACCGAGTGTCGGGAAAAAATCATGGGAGGGTTGTACACATATGTACATTCTAGCGTGCATCAATAAACACTATGTTACGCTGGAGATCGTTTTTGCTGACTCAACTATATATGTGTACGACCCAGATCGTTCATGTTTGACACAAGGCCAGTTGGAGCAAAACCTGGAGTTTGTGGCTGTAATTGTTCCTATGATGGCTAGACGAGCGGGGATAAATGTACAGGACAAATTGAGGATCGTTCGGAACACGACGACAGCGCGACAGCCCGTAAGGTAAGTGTTTGAACTTTGTTGTTTTCATCTTTCAGATTTAGTTTTTATTTACACAGTACTGAACTGATTCATTCTTGTTCAATTGCAGCGGCGACTCCGGCATATTTGCCATTAAGTACGTTGAATTTTTAAGTATAGGATATAAGGTTGATGGAATCAACCAGTCGTGGATACAGAACTGGAGAAAGAAGCTAGCATGTGATTTGTTCGAATTTAATGCTGACCTGTAAATTTCATTTATATATATATAACATTTCAATTGTAAATTTAATTATTTTTGTAGTTATAAAATAATTGTAAATTTGTGTTCAATGTATATAACATTCAAATTGAAAATTTAATTATTTTTTGTTATTTTACACGTATGCCGAGTGTGGAACTATTTTTTTCATATGAATCATTATAAATACCATTTATCAAGAATAAATATTGAATATTGAAGATTTATAAAGAACAAATATTGAACAGTGTAAAGTAAAAGGAAATATTATTCATTTCACGTACCTGTCTAATCGTCATTTAGAGGAATTGACTGGTACAAAATTGTCGAGTATGCCCTACGACTCTGCACCGGCCACACCTACGCGGTCGAGGAAACTCTCCGGTAGATGGTATTCTAGATATGCTTGGACGTCCAGGACCACGCGATTCAACTGCTGGTGGTAACAAATTATGAAATGAGAGAATGTGCTCGGGAACTTTCCACTCGGCTTCATTCGGCAGAGGAAATATAGTCTCGGCATATGCTGTTATCCAAGACTCAGTCGTATAATACAAAAAACATAACGTTCTCACAGCAAAGCCTCGATACATGGCCACCGCAACTGCATGCTCACATGGAAAACTCTCCAACTGAAATCTCGTACAAGTGCATGTGTTATCAGTCAAGTCAACCATATATGTCGTATTACGTGCACATTTCACGGAGAAGCGAAACTCATCTAGTGCTTCCACATTCAACTTCCTCGCAACCTCTGCCGCCTTAAACAGTTTCTCCTCTTGAGCTGGGGTCAACACACTATCGCACGTTGGTCATGAAACCACTGTTGTAGCTTGTTACGAATGTTCTCAATCATTGCGAGAATTGGTAACTCTCGATCCTCTTAAACAATGCATTGAGAGACTCCGCGTTATTCGACGTCATCATGTTGTATCGATGTTCTGAAAAGTATGATCGCCCCCAATGTTCGATCCCCATCTTCGTCAGATACTCCAACGTCGGTAATGATTTACTTCCTATCTCGAGCATGAACTTATTACACTCTTCAGCACTGTAAGCTTCGGCTGCTCTCCTGAACAATGAAACGATGTTTGTGCCCCGATACCTAGTTTTCAAATTATCTTGTATATGGTACATGCAATTCCCGTGATGTGCCCCGGGAAAAACTTCAGCGATACCGTTTATTATAGACTGTCCCCGATCGGTTACAAAGGCAAGGTCTTCGACTTCCCCGATCACTTCCCTCAGTTTAGAAAAGAACCAACGCATGGACAAATCATTCTCGCTGTCGACTATGCCGAATGCAATAGGGTAAATTTGGATGTTGACATCTTGACATGTAGCAATAATTAATTTGCCTTGATATTTAGCTTTCAGATTTGTACCATCAACTAGAATTACGGGTTACATTACATTTCGAAAATCTCGAATACATTGTTCGAGAGCCATGAAAAAATATTTAAAACAATTATCGCCCCCCGTCTCAATAAAAAATGCCGTGCCAGGATTAGTTATCCCCATGTTATGGCAATACCTAGCCAATTTAGCATAGCTCTCTTCAGCCGATCCCATTAAATCCTCCAACGCACATTCTTTGGCCTTCCACGCTTTCTGGTAGCTCATGACCACTCCGTACTCTCGACGGACGTCGTTAATGATGTCCGAAGGTCTGTAGATCGTCCGTGGATCCTGATACTTGTGCATTATCTGTCGATCAATAAACCATGCTCAAGCTTGCCTGTGATCGTTTCGAAGAATTCCCACTTCGCAAGTATATTCCCGTGAATACTTGCGAATTACGAAGCATTCATTCGTGTCCATCTTAGTTGCTCTCAAACGCCAATTACAACTGTCTTCGACGCAAGCAACTGTCAACAATGACTTGTTTGATTTCTTTACCTTGAACTCAAAGTTATATTTTAATGCCAACCGGTGCACAGCTTCCTGCAAATCTTTCTTGGTTTCAAACAGTTGCTCGACCTACAAGTCCTCATCATCGGGAGCCACACGGGAAGAATTGGAGGACGGTCCACTTGTTCCAACCTGTGAGCTCCCACCCGGCTTGTGTCTCTGTCGGGATAAAGCAATCAAATTCTTATTTGTAAACTCGTTTATATTCTCATTGTCTTCAACTGTCGACGGAATTCTGCGCGTAATAGCGACATCACGATTAGAAGCAACTATCTCAGGAATACCCACATCATCCATAGGAACTATCTCCACTGTCTCCCAAAAACCTCGATCATTGTTATCCGCCCTATCTGAATCTTCGCGTTCACCTTCGATAACATCCTTCGTAATTAAAGTCACACCAAGAACAGTCGGAGTCCAATGCATTTTATTCAATTCTAATAGATATTTTCAATTCAGCATCATTAGTAACGAATACCGGTGGCATCGGAATGGATAAATCCCCATAACCGTTGAATAGATATCTCAATTGCATATCGTATTGAGATTGATCGACATTCGGCTTATTTTGCAAATCGTGGTACATTTCTAAGTATGGTGTACTCTCTGTTATGGGAATTGCAATACAACCACGTATGTCACTCATCCATCTCCATTCCCACCGATTATTTTCATTCAATTCGAAATCACCGAAATAACACACGGGGATTATCATATCTGTATGAGGAAATGATTTTAATTAACTTCATTTATTAATTATAAGAAAAAATCAGTGCCAACAAAAATCAGTGTAGAGTCGGTTAATTGGCTATTTAACAGCCGAACAGTCGGCTGTTAAACAGCCAACAGTCGGTTGTTTAACAGCTGACTGTTTGGCTGTTAACAGCCAAGCAGTCGGACTGTTTCCGACTGTTTGGCTATTTTTGCGCAGGAGAATACGGTTCTAAAGTTATACATCTGTTCAATTTTTATTTTTTTTTATATGTAAGATCTGTTAAAAAAAATTTATGCTAACTACTATGTTCACATAAAATTTCTCTATTCAAACGTATACTAATTTACCGAAAACGAAATTAAACATGCGTAAATGTACTTACCGATTTGAAGTAATTGATATAAAAAAAAAATTCGGCTTCAACGTTTCAAAGTTTTTCTAGATTTTGAGGTTCAAGCAGATGAAAAGATGAGAGTTTTTCCTGTATTGGAAGCTCGTTTTGAAGTTTTTATAAGTGGGAAAGTGTTTGATTTTCAATTATTAACTAAAATGGTAGTATAGTTCTTTTAACAATATATTGTTTTGTAATTGTACAAAACATTTAAGGGTATCTTTGTCTTTTACCATACAAGAGGCCAATGTCATAATATTCATGATTTTGAAAGTCAAAGTGAAATTTAGATCCTTTGACTGGGTCAAACTTAAAAGTACCCCCAGAATTACGAAGTTCTGCCTTTCTTGGATTAAGGTAGATGCAGCCTTAAGCCTCCTTCACCATGTTAGCCATGTAAAGTAAAATGCAGGGCCCAATGGATAATACGAGTGGCCAGATATAGGTGGAAAAGGTAGTTGAAAAATTCAAAATTCAAGTGAAGGCTGAATTTGGATTTTCCAGAACGATGCCTATGCTGAAGATCGACAACCTGAAAATTTCTGTAATATCCAAACCGGTACAGCTGATTCAAATTCAAATTTTCAGAACAATTTGCACTAAACAGATAATCCCAGCACCAACAAACATGAATCTGTATGAAATTTCCGAGTATTCTGTTGCTTGAAATCGAGTTTTGCCAAGGCTGGCTGCAAAATTCAAATCAATAACAAGAAACAAATGAACATCTCCAGAAACGGTTTCATGGTTGAAATTGTTATGCAAAAATATCTTTCGATTTAATATGGTGTGTGCAGTTCATTAACAAGTAAAAAAGTGAATTTTGAGTTTAAGTATCGATTCACAGAGATTGATTTAGTTTGATTTTAATTATCGTGATCTTAACCGAAATTATGAGTAAATTGAACTAATTAAATGCAAATTATGCTAAATGCAAGTTCATATATTCTAATGAATGACAAGCGTACTAGAATCTTCAATTTTCATGCAATAATCATTTTTAATCTTAGTTTTTCATTGTGACACCACGATTGAATCTTCAACACTCAATGTTTCTATTTTTTTTCAACAATTTCTCTCGAATAATATCAAACATATTCTTATATATGATGACTATATTTTTATGATGGATATAAATATACAAGAATACATGCAATAATCATTTTTAATCTTCGCTTTTCACTATGACACTACGATTGAATTTTGAGCACTCAATGTTTCTATTTTATTCAACAATTTCTCTCGAATAATATCAAACCTATTCTCATATGACAACTATATTTTTATGACGGGTGTAAATATACAAGACTACATGAACTTTTTATGAACAATTAATGATTTTTATAGAGCAGGGTGGTATATTTCCATCCTCTATCGGACCTAATGATGATTTACACCATATCAAGCTATTTTCCTTCTTTTGGATACATAAGATAGGCCATTAAATTCATACAACTACCGTGCACCATAATTGTTGAAAAAAGATAATCATATAAATCATTCAAAATTTAAAAACATGTCTTCAAAGTCAAATATGTAAAACTAAATATTTAAAACTCATATTACAAGGTTCATCACTCTTCTAATACAAATAAATCTAACCTGTAGCTTGGCAAATATAACTGGACATTTGCCCAATTATGTCAACTTTCAAATTTTGTATTTTAATCCCCAAATTCAATTCTTGATTCTTTTAAATCCTTTCTTTTGCAATTTCAACATTTCAACTTCTAATTGTATTCAATTGAATTTTAAAATCTTTAATGTCCATTTTGTGGTTCAAATCAACTGTTGGAGGGTCGCAATTCATGGATTTTCACCATTTTTCTTTTCCCCTTGCTTAGAAACAAGTTCATCATTGTAATAAACAAAAATTAACCCAAATTACGTAAAAATCTACACTTTCATGACATAAAAGCTTAACAATATGGTTCGAATAAGTGCACAAAATGCACTTATCAAACACCCTCAAACTAAAATATTTGTTCATCCCCGAACAAAACAAAACTCAACATATTACTAGCTAAAAAATCACAAATAATGGACTCAACATTGCACTGCTTACCATATGCCTCGGGTTTGAATTTAAGTAATGCTTTAAAAATATCAAAATAACATCAAAAAAAAATTTCGTCTAATGCTCGACTAATGTATGTGATTAGCCAGCATGAACTTACACCCATACTAGAACACAATGAATCAAGTATTGTTAATTTTTTCTTACATTTCTCGTGCAAAATCACTCTTTATCCTTCTCTCCAACCTCGAAATATTTCTAGCACATGCGGAATCCTAATAATCTTTAAATGCCACTTTTCACACAAAATTAGATACTTGTAAATCTAGAAATGAGATGGTAGGTCTTTCTCAAATTCACACAGCCGATCTTTAAAGTTCAAATCTCAAAGTCTCCATCGGGCACGTTTCACTTTTGATAATCTAAATCCATCCTTTTTTTTTTTTTTTTTTTTTTTTTTTTTTTTTTTGACATCTCCCCATTAAGCTTTTTAAATGATTTTTATAGCAAGTCTTAAGCCAATAATTTCCAAATACCCCTCTTTTTTTTTTTTTTTTTTTTTTTTTTTTCTTTTTTTGACATCTCCCCATTAAGCTTTTTAAATGATTTTTATAGCAAGTCTTAAGCCAATAATTTCCAAATCAAATGACTATGGAGTACAAGGCTTTTAGATACTCTTACTGGCTTAATAACTCGAGTCAAAATGGCTACAAAGAGAGGTGGAAGATGTATCACTTTTTCTTTTGATATGAGAATCTAATTTATCGTTCTTTTGACATCTTATATGCAAAATTTCTTTTCTTTAAACTTTCTAATTGATCCATGTAGATGACTCTTAGATCAAATTACTCTAGGACATTAGGTTTTAAAGACCTTATCAGGCTTTATTTGACATTAACTGAGCCTCGTTCTATATTTTTGACAGGTTACACCAACTTTCGGCCGTTGTCAATAAACGGCTTACTATTAATAAACTATTGTCAGAGTTACATTTTTCAGGATTACCTATAAATATACAACCACGAGCTGCTTTTCTATGAAGGCACTTTCAGTGAAGAGCCATTTGCAATGGCAGACTAGACTGCTCATCCACAATAAAAAAAATTGATTCAACAAACTGTCTGCGTGACTTGGACGTTTATTTTATTCGTTCCAAGTTATATTTCACCAGTTCTTCGAGCGCAAAACGAAATGAACTTGGAGGGAGGCATTGAAGATTCTGAACTGCTAGATTAGCTTTCTCTCTTGCCAATTCTTGTGCCCTCTGGATTCCTCCACAGCTTTTGACAATACCAACGGCCACGTCTAGGGAACCGGTGTCACAAAATTCAGATTCAATTATATCCCTCAACCTTGCCTCTTTCTCTAATGCAAATATCACTGGTGCAGTCAAATTTCCTTTTGCCAGGTCACTTCCAGCTGGTTTTCCCAGTTGCTCCGCTGATTGAGTGAAATCCAGAATGTCATCAATGACTTGGAAGGAGAGACCAAAGTTCTTACCATACTGATACATCTGCTCGCTAACATAACTGTCGACCCTACTGAAAATTGCAGCTCCTTTGGTGCTAGCAGCAATCAAGGAGGCTGTTTTATAGTAACACTTGATCAAATATTCCTCCAGTTGAAGGTCGCAGTCGAACAAACTAGATGCCTGCTTTATTTCACCGCTGGCGAAATCTTTAATCACCTGCAATATTATCCACACAAATAGTTGTATCGCTGAAATGCGAAATCTTTAATCACCTGCAATATTATCCACACAAATAGTTGTATCGCTGAAATGTGAAGAAATTAACAAGCTTGTTTGGAAGTCAATTATTTCACTTTTTATTTTTCCTCGGGTTCAAGCAACTGATGTTATCATTCTTTTACATCAAAAGTTTCCTATGATATACCTGGCTGATAAGCTTTATGACTTCAAGATTTTCAAGATTGGCTAGGTACCATGATGACTGTGCAAACATAAAATCACCTGCCAGCACTGCCACTCTTGTACCATATAATTGATGAACAGTTTCCTTTCCTGAAAAAGAGAGTGCATAGGGAAGGTTAGCCAGGAGAAAAGAACTATCTTCAAAAAAATTGAAAAAGAAAACAGTAGCAAAGAGCTTCTTTCTTAATTTATTTAAATATCTGAAGCACATGGTGAAATCCTCTGGGTGTTAGGTGAAATGAGATTTTAGCAGCTGATGTTTTCATTGAACTGATTTCTGGAGTAAAAATCAAAGCTATGTCCACAAATTCATAAGTAAAGAAAACAGTAGAAAAGAACTATCTCCAAAAAAATTGAAAAAGAAAACAGTAGCAAAGAGCTTCTTTCTTAATTTATTTAAATGTCTGAAGCACATGGTGAAATCCTCTGGGTGTTAGGTGAAATGAGGTTTTAGTAGCTGATGTTTTCATTGAACTGATTTCTGGAGTAAAAATCAAAGCTATGTCCACAAATTCATAAGTAAACAACAGCCAAACTTGAGTGTTTATTCCAATGAAAGAGGTTAAGAGCATCTTTAAGAGACTTTAAACATAAAATGTTCTTTATTTTAAAGAGTCGATTCTTAAAGTTATGTTTCAAGATATTCTTTAAGTTAACATTTTAATTTGGTGAGTGAATTTGGCTCTTCAAATTTAGATAGCAGCCCACTCTCTATAATTAAGCCTCATTTGGCCCCCATTCTTCTTCTCATTCTCTCTCTCTTTTATTTTCAATCACACAATTTTTCATAAACTTTTCATTATTTTTCGACCACACATTTTTCAGAAAAATACAATTCCAACCATTAAAATTTGGAAAGAATGGAAGCCAAACGGGAGCTAAACGTACTCAAAGTATTTCAATTTTCAATGGAGAAAAATAGTTTAATAATTTGGACAGAAACTAATGAAAATAAAAGATAGGGAAAAACACTAAGTATTTTTTAAGAGTAGTAAAATTAAGTGTAAAATATAAAGAACCTGTTGGAGTACTTAAAAATTTTTACTCTCTAAAATTATATATGCTCTTTAAATTGTAGAATATATTTATTTTTTAAAGAGTCTCTTGAAAATGCTCCAACTTCATTAATAGAACATATAAATTCACGTTTACATCATTGCAGAAAAATACACCTACCAAAAAAGAATCAACAGAACAAATATTCAAAAGCTAACCTCTTCGCATGTCACTTTCGTCTAATACATCATCATGTATCAAACTTGCAGTGTGGATCATTTCAATGATCTCAGCTAACCGTCTATGTTCTTTCGTCAGTTCCCTGAACAATTAATCATTCTATATAGGTAAGTGGCTTAATTTTCATTAGGAAGTACAGAAAATAGGAAATCAGATAGCTCACTTCAAGCCAACAATTTCCTTAGTGGCTCTTGATACTAAAAAAACTAAAGCTGGTCTCATCCTCTTTCCACCGGCCCCAAATATTTGCTCAGCAGCAGACATCAATACTGGATTTTCTGCGCCAACGATCTGAAAATAAATTCTTATCAGACATGGGGTCGGAATGTATAATCAGTTGGATATCAAATGCGAAGTTCACCATAAAACCTTAAAATAAATTTTTTTCAGAATGAGCTGTAATTACTGGAATTTTGCATACTTGATATACATCAAAGATTCAAATAATGTATTACAAGTGATAGATCAAGGATTAAGCAACAAAATATTGTAGACTCCATCAGAGGTGCTTTTGCACATATTACAGAGTTTGACATCATAACATTTGATGCCTTGACTGAACCGTAAAATTGTCTAGCTAGTAATTACTGTATTTGACATTAGGACAAAGTTACTGCAAAGTGAAATTACTGTTATTTGTGAATATTAACGTATAGATTCTCATTTTGTGAAAGTTAAATACGAGAAACACCACGTGCTATTGAGCCCCAGTTTGGTTCAAAGAATCTAATTCCGCACCATCAGCATGAGTGCTGCTGCACATCTCCAATTATGATTGATAGCTTCCTCAAAGGGCAAGTGCCTATCTAGTGGCATCAAATTCTGCTCAACCCAACCCAAGCCTACTCTTAACCAGTCAGATGCGTTGTCACACAAGCTAAATCCTAATTTCAGTATTTGGTATAATATGCTCATCTTGACATGCTGCTCTTACACCAAGAGCAAATTTAATTATTGTACGGTGTTGGGTATCATCAAATTGGCCTCTGGATCAGAACCAGAGAATTTCTCTCTAACAGTTGAATTTATGAATTCCAAAACCAAGGTCCAACTCTATGCAATCAAAGATTACCTTAAAACAGTGTCCTTTTCCTCCCTACACAACCACCACGGTGTCGCAAGTTTCTCAACAAGAAAACTAATATATGCTGGGTATTTATCATTTACAGTGAGTGGCATAAAACACTTCATTACCTAAATTTCAAAATGGTAACAAAACTTTGCTATTGGATGCAATATGAACAAAATTGAATCTTGACAAGAAACATACAGACTGTAGATTTTTGTTCAGTGTTAGAAGGTCCTCTGCAACTCCTTCAAACAAATTTGTCAGGGAAGCAGGACTTCTTGACTCTTTTTTCAAATCTAGAACTGGTGGAGTATCTGTTACCCCTAAAATTACACCAAAAACGAAATAAAAATCGCAATCTCAAAGAATAAAACTTCTAAAACTAATTTAACTATCAAATCAATAAATAAAATTGGGTCGAGGACCCAAAAAGCAGTACCTGGGAGCAAAGCTTCAGGCGTCTTTGTTGAAAACATACGAGGAGGACCAATTTCAGGCCGGAAACAGAACAATTTTCGAGCTTTATGGCTTCTATTGACATTTCCAACTGTTCCCTTAGCATAATTCCTTACAGAAAATCGATCAAAAGAGGCATTCGAAGAGCACCCACAAGCCGAAAAATCGAACCTTGTTCTTCCAAACTCAAGATTATTGCATGCCACTGCCGTCATTTCACCCAAAGAGCAAAACCACTAAGATTTACCACTCTAAATCAAGAACCCACCTCAATTTCGCAATTCTTACAAACCCACCAAGCGAAAACTCATTCCAAGAAATAAAGTCAAAACCTTTAAATGAGAATGAATTATTCTCTTCTAAGAAAATTGTAGTTACGTGTGGAATTTATTTTGAGCATAAATAGCAGAAAATTGAGTGGATAAGAAAATACCACATAGTTTTGGTACAAACACCAGTGAAATAAATGATTAGGAGATGAACGAGTCAGTTTTAAATGATGTTATCAAGAAGGTTTGGGATTCCGTAGCTGAAACAAAGGCCACAAAGTCGCTGTCTGACAATTATACTTTCGATTTAAAAAAAGCGTTTAACAATGATGTTTAATTAAGAGAATGTGTCTTGAAATTAGGGGTGGGCGCCGGTCGGCCGAACCGAACTTTTCGAGTATCTAGTAAATGGAATCGTCGGGTCCAAATATAATTATGGAACCGTTCGGGTTCGGTTCTGTTCGGTTCGGTTCGGTCCGGTTCGGGTCCGTTCGGTTCTGTACTATAATTAAATTTTTTTAACATTTATAACAACATTATATAAATACAACTAATGATACATTCAATGATTTTGGAATGTCAGAGATTGGTAAACTACCCTATTCAAATGATCGGTACGATCAAAGTTTCGATTGGCGAAAGTCACAGTTTCGATCGGAGGTCATAGTGTCGGCCGATGATTGTATAGGTTTTCGAATATTAGCGAGGCTGCGAGAGTGAGTGCGAGAGTCAAGACAACGTTATGCACTTTAGTGTTGGTGTTTAGGGTTATTTAATGGATTTGATCTTATTTGGCTAAGAAATGAAACAATAAAATGGGTAATTGGGCCAAAAATTCAAAAATTAGAAATGAAACAAATTGTTTGGCCAAAAATTTAAATTTAGAAATTATTAATTTGTTTAGAAAAAATTAAAATTAAAATAATTTGATTTACTCAATATAAAAAAAATTAGAAATATTCGGTTCTTATTCGGTTCTTCGGTTCTTGGTCTAGAACCGAGAACCGAACCGTACCCGTCGATTCTTAATTCAGATACCCGTTCGGGTATTTAATTTGACAAGAACCGTCGGGTTCGATTCGGTTCGATTCGTAAGATTTGCCCAACCCTACTTGAAATGGTGTAAATGATCGATTTTACTGAACTTTTTGACACTGTCAGAAATCAAATTTTTATCACAAAATCCAATTTACAAGGTGTAAATGGCTTCTATGGATTGAAGTGGACCATACTTTTTTTTATAAGACTGTATTTTTGAATAGACTATTGATTAGAAATATATATTTTGGATTTGAGTGTAATATTATTATATTAAAGAACGTGTGATTGAAATGATCTCAAATTACTGTTTAAAAATGTATTTTTTCTTTTGAAAGAATGTGGATCAAACACAACCTTAATACAGTTCAAAAATTATTTTGTAAGAATATGCGGCTCTACTCTTCCACATTGATTACATGGCAAAAAGGTAAATATGGGGGGTTTGTTTTCTATTTTTGTAAGAATGAGAATGAAAAATATAGACGTTATGGATCCTACATAAGAGATATGAATTCAAATTTGATGGCTTGATGTGATGGATAACAGTCATTTTTTTTATTTTAATGAGAAATGATTGAGAAACAAGCAGGGGATATGTATAGATATTAGATAATGCACTGTTTTCTTGCAATATGAAATTTTTGTTTTTTTTTCCTGGAGATTCGATGTCATCTTTATTTTATCAATATTATTTGTAAATATTTTAGAAGTTGGTTCTCCTTTGTTATTAATAAAAATATATTTGATGTGTGAAAAAATTTTAATGATACAAACATATATATAAGTATTCTCGAGAGATATTGCTTGGATTCAGAAGTTCAATTTTAAGTGAAGCGACGTGTCTCTGGCTCTACCCTTGTGTGGTTGTGTTGACCTTTTTCTATACCATTTATTAAATGTCAAAAAAATGGGGACCCACCTGCCATAAGCAGAAATTTAGATGATTGAGATGTCCAATATGAAAATAGAAGAAATGAAAAAAGCAAGAACATTTGAATTGTTTTTATTAATTTTTAAAGAAATCATCTCCAATTTCAATTCAAATTATCGGTATTCATGTATGAATCAATAAATCTTTGATGTCCTAATTTTCTAGCAATATTATAAATCAAAGAAATTAAAAAACATTATATCTTGATATACGTTTAAAATCAACGAGACTTCGATTACCTGTTCTTCACACTTTCATGGCTTGTCCATTCAAACACATGGATCCTTGGGTATGCCAAGTCACTAAGAACATTATTTCTTGAAGAAACAAATGATGTTCAAATGAATATTGCACTACAAAATTCAACCATTCAATGTTCTAAATCATTATCCTACGAAGCTACAACTTGAGGTGATTGCTAGCCTATGAGAAAGATATGGCAATAGTTTTCCCGGATATCCAAAACGAATATACTTCCAAAATCTCATTTTTTTTATTTAACTTTTAAAAGGAATTTTGAAACATATTCCTCAAAAAAATATTAGATCACGAACGAATACCAATTGATTATTTTTTTTTTCTTTATCATGTCCTCTCGACCAAAGTCGGAAACACCATACGAGTAGAGTTTAACAAATCTAGACTTTTAGCTCCCGTTTCGTCCCCATTAATTTTCATTCCATTACCTTTTATGTTTAACCACATAATCTTATATAAAATAATATTATACGTAAATCGAAATTTTTTTTCTTTTTTTCAACCACTGATTTTTCAAAAAAACACTATTCCATCCATTTCATTTTCAAAGAAATTGGAGCCAAACGAGGGCTTAGTTTAAAGATCCCGTCTAAACCCCCGTTTGGTTCTGATTTTTCACCTCAAAAATCAATTTTTTTATCTTTACTTTCCTAAATCAACCGTTTATTTTTATTTTTTTACTCATGGGTAAAACTCACATTTCTCTGTAATGATAAATCATAAATCACTATCAAACAGAACTCAAAATATAAATGAATCATATATAAGGAAAAAACAAAGTTAAAACCTAGTTTTCACAAACTAAAGCATGACGCTTTCATGGCCAAGACAAATATTGATTGAAAGACGAAACAAAGGAATTCCACACAATAATTAGAAAGATTAAAATGAAGGGAAAAGAATAATTTGACATGATGAAACAAAAATAACGCGATGGATATTAAAACGAATGTACTTCAGTAGCAAACTACAACTTGGAATTTAGAGAACATATCTCTGAACACAACGTAAAAGTATTTCCATCGATTTATTTATACCCTTATTCGATATGCAAATACAATATGTATATTTTTTCTACATACATCATATAATCACATCCTTCTCATTTGCTATGCTGTGGAAGCAGTTTACTTTGGTTTCAACTTAAGAGAAGCACTGCAAGTATGAAAATAGTAAACATCAATTGGCAATAAGAAATTCAGGGAGTCAAGATGGGAATTCAAGGTATTACAGGAAATGCATACCTGTTGATACAATAGCGCTTGCCTGTAGGCGGTGGGCCATCATCAAATACATGACCAAGATGAGCATCACAAACTGAGCATAGAACTTCTTGACGAGGCATGATTATGATAGACAGGTCTAGTTTCGATTTCACATTGTTTCCTATTGGCTGGTAATAAGAAGGCCACCCAGTTCCACTATCAAATTTAGTGGTTGATCTAGAAAATGTACACTGGCTTATTAGTTTTTTAACAATTTTTTTTTTTTGGAAAAAAAAAATGTTTTCGTACCGGGGGAGGAAAAAATGTAAGTACAGGTCACTCACTCAAATAAAGGAGCGTCGCAGCAAATGCAGTGGTACGTTCCAGGGGTTTTGGTGTTCCAGTATTCTCTGTACACGGTATTGAGCATGGGTCAAAATAATTTTTAGGAAAGAAATTCAGATTTCAAAATGTACAAGCATAAACAATGATAGCAAACTAAACTTATTTTCATGTTAATTGACATATGCCCGATGATTTCACAATGAAATGGTCTAAGAAAGTCGGATATATGAATGAGTCATGGTGCATTGTCCCCACTGCTCCAGCAAGTCACTGACTCACTACTCATTAACAATATGAAAAAGTTCACCCGCTATATAGTTTCATCAATTTGAAGCCCCTAAGTACTAAAATTGGAGAGCAATGACTCCATTAGGGTTACTGAATAAAGGAGGCTAGAGTAGATTGAGTACCAACTAAATTTTTAAAATTTTATATTAAAATTGTTTTACTCGAGTTGCTATCCTCAGCTGTAAACAATGGTATGTACTGCAAGAATTTTCTAGAAAGGTGCTTGGCAAAAATAAAGCTTCTTATCTTCCTTTTACTAGGGAATGAAGCTACAAAGGTTCATTTCTTTGTATTCACTACCTCTTCCATTAAACACGGGATATGTGAACTTATAAGATCTATCCTTCCACCCCATTGCTCGACCCAAAAAGGGATAAACAAATGATTTGTAAAAGGATAAAGACATAACATTGTCAGCCACCCCCAGCAGTCTCTTCATGCATTCTCCCCAACCGGTACAAGAAGCAATGGCATTTGATAATTTCACTGTATAAAAAAACATAACAGCAAAAATATCCAAGATATGGACAGATCCAACATGATACAAGTGATTTATCAGTGACCAATATGTAGACACCCATGAGAGTTCTAAAACAAAATATAATTAATAGACCACACAATTATAAGGAGATCGAACCCAGTAGGAATTCAGAAAAGTGAACTAACAGCATTTAAAATGAGATTATACCCATTGAAAGCCCTCTCAGTACCCTTTTTCCGAGCAATATAAAATTGTTCGTCAGTAAGCTGCTTCCTCCATTCCTCATCACTTATAGAACTGTAATTTATGTTGTCTGTCTCTGTATTGTACAAAGCATATAATAAAATTTTAGTCGGAATTAAATCGAAATGAGATTATACACTTACATGCAAGATAATTTTAGCACTGCAATATAAATTCGTGAAAATTTCATATATCAGCCCCTCATTCTATAGCACTTGGGTCCCCTCAATATTTCTTAGCATTTGGTCACCTACTAATTTTTGTAGCATTTGGATTATGGGGCAGAGGAGGCTGGGTAATTATTCTTCCTTTCCTTTTCTGGATTACAAATTATGCTCTTGACAATGTCTCACATGTGAGATATATGACCAAAGGGCGATCTTGAACAAAATCTGTATCTAAGAAAATTAAATTAAGTCACAAGAGTTCATTAAGCATGGAAGGAGGATAGTAAATAAGGCATGTATGTGCAATTTTCCCTCAAAATTAGGTCTCTTTTAAAATCCCTAACATCATCAAATGTGAAAGATCATAAACAACAAGAAGTTGATCAAGTATATAAACATTTTACGAAGTAATTACAATTAGGGCTCTTTTAAAAGTTCCAAAATCATTCAATATAGAAGAACATAAGCCAAAAAGAATTTGCTTTTAATTATAACAATTTTAGTGAAGTAGGTTGCTTACGCTGTGAAGATTATTATGCAACCACTCATTTAAAACGAAACTTAATCGATTAAAGTATCTTCAAATTGATAAGCTAGTCGCGAAATGGCAATATCTGCCCAAAATCCCTAATTAAAAATAATAAGTATTACATATCCAAATACTAAAAACACATTTAACCGACGGACTGAAGATAGATATCCCCTGTTTGAGCATTTAATAAAATATATATATATTAAAAAAAAAAAAATCTCATTCTTTCTCCAATCTTTTTTACAACCACATATTCTTCCAACAAAATAATTTTTCAGATAACCTAAAATTTTTCCCTACATGTTCTCCAAAAAATAATATTACAAAATATATTCTATCAAAAAATGGACTCAAACAAACCCTAAACCATAAATTTCACTTAAACTATGAAACAAGCAGTTACTATGCAGATTGATTTCTACAAACTTCAATTCGTTCTGTTACAGTAGCTACAATTCGATCGATACTAACATCATCCACAATTTTTCCAGTAAAAATTATAGAAGAAAAAACAAAATTTCCGGGAAATAAAATTTAAACAGATAGAAGAGACCTTGAGTGGTGTCTGGCTTTTGAGAAGAAGCTGAAGAGCCCATAGCAGAAACTGAGAAAGAAATTTTGTTTCTTGGCCTGTTAAGTGTTCCTAAAGCTAAAGAAAATAGTTGCAAAACTTTGGACTTGGATGAAAAGTTCGATAGAGAGGTGAAGCTGCTGCTGCCGGCTGTTATGCTATAACGAGAGGCCATTTGGGAAGGCTGAATTTTCAGATTACTGCCGTTAAAAAATTTCTTTCTTTATTTCCAATTTTCAATTGCACCATCTTCCATAAACCAATATTAAGAGCCCTTTTGAGCCACATTATAATGAAAATAAGAATAAGAAATAGAGTCGTTATGAGCCCCATACTGAGAATAGAAATTCAAAAATAGTGACTTGATGTGATGGATAACGGTCATATTTTTCATTTTAATGAGGTAAAAATAGGGCTCAAACAGGGGCTACATATAAATCGAATTTTTTTTAATTACTCATTATCCAAAAAAATACTTTTCCAATTTCCTTCCATTTTAATTTTAAAAAATGGGGCCAGACGAGATTTTTTCCTACGCTTCTTGTGATTGAATATGATCAACTTAGCCCTCATTTCTTTTCGAATTTTAACGTTTTGAAATAGTGTTTTTTTAAGAATGTGCGGCTGAAAAAAATAAAAAATTTTCGATTTATATATAATATTATTTTATAAAGGATTGTATTGTTAAAAATAAGAGAAAGGGCAAAAAAAGAAAGAGTGAAGATCAAATGGAGGTTTAATATGGTGATCTCATTTGTACATGATTTCTTTCTACACCTGGCTTTTCCTAATCCACTCGTTCTAAATTGAATGCTATCTATAGCCTTTTTTATTTTTTATTTTATTATTTATTTTAAAGATGGCTTCAGAACGAATATGGAATGGGTCAATCATTTTCATTCCGTTTTGTCAAGTATTTTTTTCACCTTGTTCCGTCTCCATATTCAATTTAAGTGGGTTCGGGATTGATGCAAAGCAAGTCAGATACCCTTTTCCATTTATTGCGTCCTTTTTCCTTTTTTTTTTTTAAATATCTTTAGTTAGTAAATATTATTACCTTTTTTTTTTTCAATTTTATTAAGAACAATTCATGTTCTCTTTTAAAATGATTATAAATCTTTTATTTTTTTGATAAAAAATTTAAATTTGAAATTAACTTTAAATGGGTGCTAGTAGCGGGGTAGGGATTATGTTTCAGGTACTTACCCTGTATTCGCTTCGAGACAATGACCCCAACCCCGTCTCCATCCCATTTACTTGATTATGATATTGGGTTGAGCAAATTTTTTGACATCCCCACCTTTGTTTGTTCATCGTTATTTTTTAAATATATTTTTCACTTTCTGATTTTTAATCACATATTTTTCGATAAAATAATATTACATGTAAAGTCAATTTTTTCCTCATTTTCTAACGACACATTCTTCATCAATATACTAATTTAAAATACATTTTGAACAAAAAATGAAACTCGAACAGACTCTTAATCAAAAGCCTTGCACAATAACAACAAAACACAACTACATTGTGTCAAGGTTTCAACTATAGCAATCTATATAACAATCAAATTAAATCACTTCGTCAACCATAAGTATAACAATGATCAAATGGTGTCTGAAAAAGAGTTGAATTAAACCTCTGTTTGGTAGCAATTTTTCGTCAAAAAAATCAATTTTTTTGCCGCTATTTCACTATTCTAGACATTATTTTTTATTTCTACATTTACAAGTGAAACCGATTTTTCTCTTGAACGTTTAAAAAATTAATTTTCATAATCACTATCGAATATGTCCTAAATACAAAATTCAAATCTTTACATGCAAGATATTTTATTGAAAGGATGCGTAATTGAAAATAAATTTAAAAAATTAAATTTGAAATAATGGAAATCAAAACCGGAGAGTAGTTGGTTCCAAAATTTATTTTTATTTTATTTTTGTACAAATTATATTCGTAAAATTTTATTGTTTAATAAAAGACAATACTAACAAAAACATGCCTTTGTGGATGCGTAGTGCTTTCATTAGACTCCCACTATTGTCGTCTTTCTTTCCTATGGATGGCAACGGGAGGAGTATGGGATGGGTCTGTCATTCCCATCCTCATCTATCAAGTATTTTTGTTATTTTACCCCACACTCATACCCAATTAAAATAGGACAGGGCGGATCTCCTACCCCATTTATCACCCTATTTATTTTTTCTTTTTCTTTTATTTTATTTTTTATGTCATTAGTATGTAAATAATATTATTTTTTTACCAATTTATTAAAAACGAATTATGTTTTCTTTAAAAATGATGATAAATCTATTATTTTTGTTTGATAAAATCTTAAATTTGAAACTAATTTTAAACGGGGCGGGTAGCGGGACAGGGACTATGTTTCCAGTACTCGTCTCATACCCACTTCAAGGCGATGATCCTCCCTTCGTACCAGTCTCATTTACTCGTTTAGACGGGTAATCCTCGCCTCGAATGGGGCCCCCATTGTTATCGGGTTGAACGAATTTTTTCATCATCCATATTCTTTACTCCTTTATTATTTATTTACATCATCATCATCATCATCATCATCATCATTATCATCGATTTATCTGAGAGTGTGAGTGAAAGAATTCTAATTAAACAGAGATATGTTTTAGTTTGTTGTTCTTAAAGATTTGAATTTTATGTAACCTGTCAAGTTCTTATAAAATAATGTAATTAAATCATGTTAAGATCGCATGGAAATTATTTAAGGTTAGCAAATATTTATTAAAAGAAAAACTATTATAAGAAGTCTCTGTTTGTGCCCCATTTTTTTATTATTTTTTTCACAATATTCATTTTCAATCACACATTTTTTATTAAAATTATATTATATATAAATCAAAAAAATTTTCTTCTTTCTTAATTCTACATTTTCTATCAATTTATTATTTCATAATACATTACCAAAAATTAATAGAACTCAAACAGGGCCAAATTCCTGAAAGAGTCCGTATAGTTATGTTGTACCTTTCAAACGGTCACCACATAATTAATTAAAGATAAGCTAAATTAATATTCTAAAGGCTCCTCTGTAATAAATAATTCATACCTGTACTCTTCAGTTCTTTAGCTTCTCCCCCCCCTCTCTCTCTCTTTCTCTAGACTCTCCGAGATCCATCCTCTCATTCTCTCTTTTACCGTTCGATCTCCAGAACCTAACGCTCTTCATTTTCGAAATTCAACTTTTTAAACAAATTAATTTTGTTTTCTTTGTCGTGAGAAAGAAAAAAAACTGCGGAGGAATTATGGGGAAGAGGAGGTTAATTGGTGGTGGGGTTGCAGTACAGTGAAATGGGTGTTGGTTTTGTAAAATTCAGTTGGTTTAATTTTTTTGGGGAGTACATTAATTTCTTGAACAGCGTTTGTTGTTTTACTCTGATCGGATAAAGAAATAGCATTGGAAGCGTCGCCGTTTCTTTTGAATAATAGATTTTTTTGGAGGTTGAAAAAAAAAAAAAGAATTAAAGATGCAGCAAGATCAGCGAAGGAAGGTATATATAATTTGTAATATTTATATTTTTTATGGTTATATTTTCTTTCAATCCTACTTGAAGAAATTAGAGATCTTGTTCGTTTATGTGTACACGATGACAAATTTTTAACTATTTCGGAAATTTGGAATTAAAATGTCTTTTAGCGTAGGGCCGAGATTTTTTAAGAAATTTAACTTGTCTGAAGTTTAGTTTTTCGAGTGCATTTCCTTCCATTGTTCTTTTAGAGTCAATTACAGAGCTGGTTTGGTGCCTTTTTTTCTGTTGGGTGCGGGGGGGGGGGGGGGGGGGGTTGAATTCAGAGAACTGGAAGTTCGTACAACTCGAATGTATTATCATCTGTTGATGTTAGTTCCCCAGGTCTTAATGAAAACAATTATGACTTTCCCAAACTTAGTTGAAGTTTGATATATCAACATATTTAGATGTTGTTTTAGTGGGGGGGGGGGGGGGGGGGGGGGGGGGGGGGGGTTGAAGTGTTGAATTCAGAGAACTGGAAGTTCGTACAACTCGAATGTATTATCATCTGTTGATGTTAGTTCCCCAGGTCTTAATGAAAACAATTATGACTTTCCCAAACTTAGTTGAAGTTTGATATATCAACATATTTAGATGTTGTTTTAGTTGTTTAGAATGGACATGAATTCGTTAATTTTTCGAATTAATGTAATATTATATCTAAATACTTGGATAGTAGAAAAACTATTGTCACTGGTTGAATAGCGAAATGTCATATAATTGTTTTTATGAGGACCGGCTATGTATTCTTTTTTTTTTTTTTTTAATATATAATTAGAGCAGAGAACCTATTGTTGTCAAAGGGGAATCTTGTGTTATAATAGAAGCAGAAGTGATTTGGATTATTCAAGAATCGAAGTTTTATCTTATGGTTCAAATTACTAGATTTTTTTAGAATGAAATGTAAGACAGGACGTGTGATGTGTGTATTTATTTGCTTTCATATATCCTATATAGTAGAGGATATATAGGAGTCAATAGATTCTGTATTCATCGCTTCATATGAGAATTTGTTCATTTACAAAATTGATAGGATTCTGGATTCTTAAATTTTTAATGACATGGTTTACTGGTTTAGTTTCGATTTCTTTAAATTTATTTCTTATCAAACAATATTTTTAAATAGATTAATATATTCTGGCTGTTATAAATGTCTTTTCAATTATTAAATTTTGTTAAGATATCATAGATTATTTTCTTTTAAATAGAATGGCGTTTCTGGAATATGTTTTGAATGGTTAACTTTCAGGTGAAGTTACTGGTCTCTCCACCATGATTTGACTATGTTTTAATGATTTTGCAGAACCCCAAAGAGACGGAATTTTTTACTGAGTATGGAGATGCCAACAGATACAAAATTCTGGAAATTATAGGCAAGGGAAGCTATGGAGTTGTTTGCGCAGCAATTGATACACATACTGGGGAGAAAGTAGCAATAAAGAAAATAACAGACATTTTTGAGCATATCTCTGATGCTATTCGGATTTTGCGTGAAATTAAGTTGCTTCGCCTTCTACGGCACCCTGATATTGTAGAAATTAAGCGGATCATGGTGCCACCCTCTAGAAGGGAGTTCAGAGACATTTATGTTGTTTTCGAGCTTATGGAGTCTGACCTTCATCAAGTCATTAAAGCTAATGATGACTTGACACATGAGCACCATCGTTTTTTTCTCTATCAGATGCTACGGGCACTGAAATATATGCACACAGGTAACTAGGCTGTGCACATAATAATTACTGAATTGCTTATCATTTGCATATGGATAATCACCCTGCAGCTATCCTCATATCAGCCTTTTCTGTTTTCTTTTTCTTGTTTTCCTCTTGTGCTAGCTTGGGAAGACTATAATTTAAACATGGTAATTATCAACTTCATAATTCTTATCCAGAGCTTGTTTGGTTTTCAGCTAATGTGTATCATCGAGATCTTAAACCAAAGAATATTTTGGCAAATGCAAACTGCAAACTCAAAATATGTGATTTTGGACTAGCAAGAGTGGCATTCAGTGATACCCCAACAACAATTTTTTGGACGGTATTATTTCTTATACTTTTAATCTAATAGTTTTGAACCTTTTGCCATCCCATCAATATGGAATACTAGCATGTTTATTGTTCTTGTTTTTGGAAGTGTGTCTGTTTTCATAATCTTTGCTGATTCTTCTCTCCTAACCTCCAGGATTATGTTGCTACAAGATGGTATAGGGCTCCCGAGCTCTGTGGATCTTTCTTTTCCAAGGTAATGGTCATATTATCAGAACTCCACTTTGTGATTTTGGCCACTTATTTTTTAAACATTCTTTTGCATCTGGTTCAATATACCATTATCCAGATGATGTGATCATGTTTCTTGATTGCCTATTCTTTCGACCCAACAAGACAAAACCATAATTGGCACTTATTGGAATTACCATTTTGTATGCCATATGCAATCAAGTGCTTAATATCAGATTGCAACAAGCAGTTACAATATTCTTTGATTCCTAAGCATCCATCGGAACTAGGCAGGTATCCTTAGTTCAGCTTTGTACACAAATACTTGGCTACACTCTGTTGTAACTCTTGAATTCTGCGAGCTTCATCCCCCTTCATTTTTCTATAGCTTTTAACCTTATAAGAAGCTAAAAGCAGTTAATGTATTTGCAAATTCAAGTGTGTTAGACAAGGATGTTGGAAATAAAAGCAAGTATGAAGACCTCTTACCCCTAGAAGCTATTAGTCCGAAGTCAATGAAATAGCGACTCCTGTCGTTGAGGTGATCAAAATGCCGAATCTAGCAATGGTTACCAACTCCCTACCCGCCTCGGAACTCATGTGAAAATTTAGAGAAACGAATGAAGATTACAGAAACAAAAAATTTTGCAAGGAAAATACCTAAACACAAAGAACTCTAAGATGATGGAGGAAGGGTGCTGGAGATGAAATCTGAGAGAACGTGGTAAAACTTGGACGAATTTGCAAGAGAATCTAACGAAAAAATGCAGAATTAAAAGTTTCGAAATGAAGATGATTAGCCTTTTATATGAGGCTAAAATGGATCCCAGCCATTCGATTGATGCTCATCTAATCCTAGCCATCAATCTCTCATTAAATCTGAGGCGTAGAATTCAAAAGGTTTTCTCAATTGACACCTCAGATCAATTAGTGATGTGCACGCATCATCCGAGTTCGTCATCTTCGATAATCCACAACTGCAACCATCATTACGCATTTAATGCGATGGTCGTACATGTATTAGAATCCATAACGGTTCGGTTACCTGTTCTTGGGAACGCACGCAAACATCAAATTATTGGCACAGTTATCGAAGACAAATCATTAACAAATGAGCCTCGACAGTTCAGCTTTTTCCTTCCCTAGCCTTAAAAAACTTCAGATATAATCCCAGCAGCCTAAGCAATTCGACAATGCACTGCCTCACCTCAAACAAAAAGTTCAACTATATCCAGAAGCCTCAGCAGTTCAACAATTTACTGCTTCGGCTTCAAACAAAAACATTTAGCTATAACCCCAGCAGCCTCAGCGGTTCGACAATGTACTGCCTCGGCTTGAAATTAACTTCAGCAACACCACGAAGCAATATCAATACTAAAGTCCAATCATAACATAAATGACTATACTTGGACTTGGAAGACTATTATTAGTTGCCAAAAATTCAAGAAATTTTTCAAAAGAAACTTAGAAGGTTCTATTCCAAATTGAAGTCCAATCATAACATAAATGACTATACTTGGATTTCGGGGACTATTGTTATGTCTTATCAGATGTGGCTCCAACGTGGCTAACCCGTTGTAGCCCTTGGCCCCACCCAGGACAAGGTGTACGACGTTATGACCGAGGCCCTAGGCTACATTGACTTCCAGTATCAATACTTCAGCCGATGCTCAACATCTCCGAACCTGAGGTCCGCTAGCCGAGATCGAGGCCCATTATCGAGGCTATGACTCTGAGGCGCCTTCGCTATCGCTCCCCCAAGAGATTTGCTCCTTCACAAATATCTTTTTAAAATGATTGATATAACGTTTGTCATAGAGTTTGAGTGTCAAGTCTTGTCAAACAAAGTGGTGATCCTACCTCTCAATAATTGTAAAATGGGCTAATAAATCAAAGGTGATGCCTAGGATGAGATATATGGATTGTGGAGATGATGTCACGTGTACTCCCATCTGAGGGACACAATTCACCCTGCACTATTATAAATACTCCCCCATGTTCCCACTGTAAGGCTAATGCAATTTCACTTACAAAACTCAATACCAGAATAAATACAAAACAATTCATCTCATTTTTATTCTCTTACGAATACAATTAAGTTTGCATAAAGTTCATTAATCACAATTGGTAATTATTGTACAATCGTTTTACAAATGTATCGCCGGATTTCGAACGTTATCGTCCCATGCCTTTGAGCTGCTTCCACACTCTTTTTCAAACCGTTTTAGACCCTTTGTGTGTCTTAGTGTGTTAGACTTTTGCTTACGTGTGAGCGGGTGGGTCCAATATCTGTTGTTTATGTGGCCCTAACCAGAAACGAGGTCAACAATTACGGAATATGTTTTGAGTGCATTAGATAGCAGTAATGCCTTCCCTAGATTTGAACAATTCTTATTTTTGTTCAATTATTTTGTTCTTGACTTCTTGTGAATATGTCTTATATGTGTTGTACTTTGCTGCAGTATACACCTGCAATCGACATTTGGAGCATTGGCTGCATCTTTGCAGAGGTCTTGACAGGGAAGCCATTGTTTCCGGGTAAAAGTGTTGTGCATCAATTGGATTTAATTGCAGATGTTCTTGGAACACCATCAGCAGAAACCATTTCTGGAGTATGACATGTCATCGTTTAACTTTATACTTGGGTGCTTATATGGTACGGTGGTTAATCTTTGAGATTTATATTCATGGATGCAGGTGCGTAATGAAAAGGCAAGAAAATATTTAACAGATATGCAGAAAAAACACCCAATGTCTTTTGCTGAGAAGTTTCCTACTGCAGATCCTTTGGCAGTGAAATTGTTGAAACGGTTGTTAGCATTTGATCCAAAGGATCGGCCAACTGCTGAAGAGGTGAGTTTTCCATATTATTAGTTGCATTCTATAGCCTGCATGTTCTAAAAATAGGTATTACCTAGGTGGAGCTTTCAGTAAGTTTTCTTTTGTACTTATTTGGCTTCTATTTTGGTGTTATTGGGTTTATTAGGCATTGGCTGATCCTTATTTTAAGGGACTGGCTAAACTTGAAAGGGAACCTTCTTGTCAGCCAATTTCAAAGCTGGAGTTTGAGTTTGAGCGCCGACGAGTGACTAAGGAAGATGTCAGGGAATTGATATTTCGAGAAATATTAGAATACCATCCTCAACTACTCAAGGACTACATGGCTGGAAATAATGGCACTAGTTTTCTGTACCCCAGGTTTTAAACTCCTCCAATCTACCAGATCTATGAGATTGTAGCCTTATATTGTATACATTAATCTCATTCTATGATGCTATTATTTGCACTATGCAGTGCCATTGGTCACTTCAGGAAGCAATTTGCCTATCTTGAAGAAAATCTTGGGAGAAGTGGACCTGTGATTCCTCCTGACAGAAAGCATGTCTCTCTTCCACGGTAAGATTTTTTGTTTGTTTAATTTTTGGGGGTCTGTTTTTTGCTTTTGCCTTCGATTAATTCTTTTATTTTGCGATATATACACATGTGCACATGCACAAGTGATGAACTCTTTTATCCCACATACACACATGCGCATGAGCACGCGCGCACACAAGTGCTGCTGAAGTAGTGAATATTCTCCATTTCCCTTTTTGTTTCTTCATTCTTATTATTTTTAATTAAGAAATTACTCATTTATCGAAAAAGAATAAGTGCATTTCAATAAGGTAGGAAAAACACTCTTAAGAACAAGATGAATCAGCATATGCATCAGTTAGGTGCCAACTCCAATTTTCACTGAACAAACAACTGATCTCAAGATGTCCTCATATTCTTTTGTATTCTTGCACTCAATTTATATGCACCTTGTGTATTGCTGCAAAAGCATGTTAGTTTTTTTTTGGAAGATACCAAGACTCGAACTGAGGGTCTCCTCTTCTTTTGTTGGTATGCAACCAGTCCTTTTGGAAGATAACAAGAACTGAGAGTGTCCTCTTCTTTTGTTGTTATGCATGTGTATTTATACATCTCTGATACCAGACAGAAGATGAAGTAGTTGAGTCATGTTTCAAATCCTTTTCTCCTATCATGCAGGTCTACAGTAAATTCAAGTACCATACCTCCAAAAACCCAACAGAACGTGTCTGCTCTCAATCACCGGCAAATTACAGAAGAAATGTCCACTGGGATTATAAATCCAGATGCCACATTTGGAAATCTATCGAAGGTTGCACGTGTACCCCCGCCGCGGGTGCCCACCGGTAGGTTCTACTTTGGATTATCATTTCTGCTGTGGCTAGTAACTGATGTGATGTTGAGTGAAGCCGTTAGAAAGTCTTGGATGTCTATTGAATCACAAAAGAAAGCATAATTTACCAAGTCGGATAATAACCATCTCCACTTACCATTTTTTAACAATGGAACAACTCTATATAAAGCAGTGAACAACTCTGTAATATTAAAATTTCAAGAGGAGAAGCGGGTGTCAATGCTGTTAAAGAACAGGAATAGTAGAGAGAACATCTAATATTTGGTTGGGGGATCTTTAGAGTTTTCATTCTGTATAAAATTGACCACACCTTTTATGATTATGTTATGATTTTCTTTCCAGTAGCAATAATTTCAGGTGGGGTCGTGTATTTAGTTTTCATTCTGTATGAAATTGACCACACCTTTTATGATTATGTTATGATTTTCTCTCCAGTAGCAATAATTTCAGGTGGGGTCGTGTATTTAGTTTTCATTCTGTATGAAATTGACCACACCTTTTATGATTATGTTATGATTTTCTCTCCAGTAGCAATAATTTCAGGTGGGGTCGTGTATTTAGTTTTCATTCTGTATGAAATTGACCACACCTTTTATGATTATGTTATGATTTTCTGGGGGGGGTCGTGTGTTTATAGAAAGCTGGGTTGAATAGAATGTATGTTTTAATTTCGATAATACTACAGAAGTTTGTACAGTTTGACAGGGAACTTTATGCTCTTCACTTACTTCGATACTACATTTTGGTTCTATTTAAGTGACATTTCCTTCTCGTGTGCAGCCAAGCCAGGAAGAGTTATAGGACCAGTTTTACCGAATGAAAATATCAAACATATCAAAGAGACCTCTGATGGGAAAATGTATGTTCAGAACGCTATCCTTCCTCAGTCGATCTCTCCGCATTATTTCTTTAGGACTAATTCTGGGAAGAAACACGAGAAGGGTTGGACAGGAGCTGAGAAAGAATCACCACAGGTCAAATCACACACACAACAATACACGTCAGTTAAATCAACATCTAGCACAACTAGTGACATCAACAAAGCACAACCTCAGCCATACATGCAAACTAAATTAAACCCAGGGATGAATATCGAAGTTAACAGTAATCCATATTACGGCACACAAGCAAAAGTAGGCCTCAATGGCCAGCTTGCAATCGATGTGAAATTGCTGCAGGCTCAATCTCAGTTCGGTATGGCTGGGGCTGCTGCCGTTGCTGTGGCTGCTCATAGAGAGGCTAGCGATGTTCAGCTTGGACTGACTTAGTGAGGATTTCTTTGAATGGTCTTGCAATGACAGGATCAGTTTATTCAGATATCTGAGGGTAGTTGTGAGGTCCTAAGTCGAATAATGTGTATAAATTGTCAAACAATTCACATGGTGTCCCCCTTAGTGCGATAGAGTGAGGTTATCTTGTCAGAAGAGAGTTCTAGTTTAGGTCACTGTAAGGTGGCAATTGTCACATCATTGATTGTTAAATAAAAGATAACTTTTCATTCAATTTTCCAGGTTTTCTTGCTTTTGCTTCGAACTTCAAAGGTATTTACGTGTATTGTATATGAAAAGAGTTTGTTATGCTGCCAGATCTTGAGACATTGCAAAACGGATAAACCACCCTCTAATTTTAGCTCTTTCCTTGTCTACATTTTTTTTCCTGTTTGTCTCACCAATTTGGATTCAATTACACTCACAAAAAGCAGCTACTGGTAAAAATGGTAGATCAACTGTTAAAAATAAATATTCGGACGTATGTTTGTAAGAACTAACCTCGAGTTAGGTTTGAGTACTAAGGTCTTGCTTTACAGCAGTTAATTACTTGATATCACCACAAACTTGCATAAATCAACTGAAACTCCTATTGGGGTCGCTTATCAACCACTCAAACATATTCAACAGGCAACCGTTCCTGAATAACAGCGAGTCTCGAATCAGGCAAACCATAATGGGGTTCCCTCATTCGCTCATACAAAATAGGATGAGAAGGCGCTCCCCTCAGTTTCTTACTGACATTTTTATCTGTCTTAGTTTATGAAACTCTAATATCCAATAATTCAAAATTTGAAGCTATTGATACCTAGCAAATAAATACAGCGAATAAGTCTTACGAAATTAAACTTTCCAGATGATCGTGGATTTGATCTACAAGGCAAGAAATTTTTAAAGAATGTGTGGTTAAAAAGTATGAAAGAATTTTGAATTGATATCACGCTTTAGTTAGCGATGATTTATAGCTTAATTGTGCTATTTAAAAAAAAAAAAAAGAATTCCTCGTAAGACATTGTCCGTGGAGTATGAAGGGTTAATTTGGTACTGATGTTAGTGCTTGGTGTCACTTGGCCATTAAATTTTATTTTATTCTATATGCATCACTGAATTTAACAAAAAATTTCATTCAAATCACTAATTCAGTTTGACATCCTTCCATCTTTAAACTAATATTTTACGTATTTGGGTGGGATTTAATTGAAAATACTAATGGCATGATGACTTGGCACGTAGATATATAGAATTTTCAGTTAAGAAATAGACGTCATATTGAATATGTGATCAAAATGAAACACTTTGTAAAGTCAGTGATCAGTTTAAAACTTTCTAAAGTTCATATCACATTAAGTGCAGAATATTATGTCAACAATGCAAATAGCAATCTAGAATCTAAACTGATGCATACAAGTGAACATATAGATTTTTTGGTCTTAACAGCTCATTCGACCTCATTATGTAAGAACGCCATATACACTCCTTCAAGGTGCCCCTTGTCATTGGCAGGAGGATAAATCCATATGTACAAAATAACTTCTTACAGATTGTTGCTAGAATAGTCTCATGATGTGGAGCCCACCATGAAAAAAAATTGCCAAAAAATACCTTACCCACTCCTCTATGTGTGTATTCTGGCAGTATTCTGTGAAAACTTCTTCTGTACACCAAGCATGGCTCATGGCAGAATTGGAGGGAACTCGCCAAGCACATTTCAAATGACACACCTTAGTGAATTACAGTACTCCGTTGCTTGCAGATAATGTTTGATCATTACATCACATGAATATAAATTCTTGGGAAATAAAGTGAAAAACAGGAAGATTCATTGGAACTTTAAGCATAATCCTTTACACATTCATCGTAGTTTACAAACTACAGTCAATTGCACACTCAACAAGTATTTAACCTTAACAATGAATAATCCAACGCTAATTGGAACAATCCAGAATTTATTATCATGGCCGAGTTTGGATATCCACCGTTCTTCATGAACTCGAGAGGCGTCCCTCCTCAACTGCTGCCCAAGTCTGAAAATTTAATTCTTCCTGTTAAATAAGAGGATAAAATAAAAGGGATATGACCGTAGTACAGAAACGAATGATGCAGCCGTAGAAGAATTTCATCATTTCAAATTGTAAAAAGGAATATAGTCATCTTTACCTTTCCATTGATCATGTCATGAGACACCAGTAAAGGTACTACAGAGTTGTCTCTTGATGCATTTTTGTAGTAAGAGAACAAAACTAATTGTATAATTGCTAGAACAGTTCCAATTCCATTTGGGGCCTGCAGTTCAAGCATTAGAAACTGAAGATTCCGTGCAGCATTTCTACTGAAGCAAGTAGGAAAAACGTACATATATGAAGGGATCGAAACTGAAGATTCCATACAGAAGAAAAGAAGTGCTCATCAAAAAAGTGGAGAGGGACAGGTAAAACGGCATGAATTCAACACTCCTCGTTTTGATCACCAGATTCTGTCCAACATATGTAAGTGCAAGAACATAAAACTAATCGACGGGCTAATTATCTTAAATGCAGCAAAGCACGTACAATTATAAACAAAGGGGAAGCAAGCATTGAGACGAGGGAAGCACTGCTCAGGAACCCAATGGCGACGTGACGAACGTCAAGGTCTATTATCAACAAGCTCCCAATGACGATAACGGCAAATATGCCTAAAACTGCCAATAGCAATCCAATCACCCTCACCTGCTAGCAACATCCAAATATTTACCAGATGATTACATTTAAATTAATGTAGGCCAAAACAAGAAGAATAATTTTACCTTTTCTGTTTTCTCTGCGTATATTATGAAGAGGATAATGTAGACAATCTGGAAAACTGCACCTACCGAATTAACGGTGGTAACCGACAAATTATCAGAAGATATCAAAGGCGAACCGTACCAGGCACAGATTATGCAGTTCAGGAGCGCGTATATATATGGCAACCCCGAGAACTGTTCTGTCGACTCGTTCCTGATTATTCTACGGAAAGTCGGCCTGGAAATTAATATAAAAATCAGTGGATTTTGGCAGGCTCTGTGCTATTGCATCAAATAGTATCAAGTATTTGCATAAACTCACACTGGAGATACAAACAATACCAAAGCAGAGATGTTTCCTGCAATATATAATTCATGAACTTTTATTCAGTCAAGCAAGGAAAGAAGATCCAAGTAAATGAACGAACACATTTGAAGTATCAGTGGAATCAATCTGGAATACTTCTCATACAGTATAAAAACACAAATTATTATTCCCTATATATGTGTTGTTAATCCATAAATATTACGATGAGGCACAAACCCGCGATTCCAGCTGCATCTTTGCAAATAGATAAAGTTTGAAATGAACCCAGAAAAACCATCAAATCCTTTTTGTTTCTGAAAACCCAAATTATAAACAAGAAATCTTCCTTTCCAGCTCGTTTTCTCTGTCCGTGTGTTCATAAACTGCTAAAAGTAAGAGTAATTGCCCTGGTATAATTTGAGGCTCGCCTGATTTTAGAAATATTCACTCACTAATGCTTCTCAAACAGGGGCTATGGCTATGGACAGGGTTTTCATTTGTCTGTGGTCTATATTATGATGAGGAATGGAGGCGTGGCGCAATTTTAGAATGTTTGCACCATATCATAACAAATGAGTTTATATATACGTATATAAAGAACGAATACGTGGTTGAAAATGAATATTAAAAAAAAAAAAAAAAATTTCAAATAATGATTGTCAAACAAAGAATAAATGTCACACAGTTGAAAAAATATTTGAAATTAATATATATATTATCTTTCATATTTTTCAACAACTTTGGGTGCGTAATCTCTGAAAATTTCAATAATTCATCTATAAAATTTTTAATGTCGTTACACTTGTAAGTAATTTTATTTCTGCAAAATATGAAGTTAATTAAGGGTTTCAAATTGATTTATTTTGAAAATATCATAAAAATTTTATTTTTGAGAACATTTTAATTTTTTCTTTGAGTAATCATTAATAAAAGTCTTACCACTAATTTGCTTCACCATAGAGATGTGATCAGAATGGACAATTACAAATAGTAATATCAACATCACAATTAAAGACAATACTGAATTTTCGTTCATGATGACCAAGAAATGTAAAAAAATATTGTTTTTGGATTATAAATTCGGATGGACAACTAAGTTCCGACCAGACAAATTTACAAAATAGGTATATTTATAGAATATTCTGTTTTTATGATTAACAACTCCCACACGGCACACGCAAAGAAATGTATGTTTGATAAGCCAAAATTTTCCCTATAAAATGAAAAATGAATTCCAACTTCCACTTTTGCATTGTTTGATATTATTTATTTATTTATTTTTTACCTAGAAATCATTTTCCACTTTTTTTGCCACCTAATCTGAATTCCACATTTTCCTTACCAGTTTTTTTTTTTTTTTTCAATAGAAACAAATTCTAAGAATTATTGTACAAAAATATTTTCCTTTAATTGACAATTTTCATGTAAAACAAAGTCAAACAAATACCAAAAGATAGATGATTTTCTTGATTTTTTTTTTGACAATAGAAACAAATTTCATCCTCAATACCAATAAATTCTATCCCTTTAATTGACAATTTTTATATAAAACAGAGCCAAACGAATGCCAAAAAATACTTTTATTTCAACATTTTTCACATAGAAAATTATACCAATCAAACACAATAATTTAAAATTTTCAGGAAAACAATTTCTAAACAATTCAATTTCCCGAAAGTCATTTTCTTTCCATCCAAATTTCATCTTCACAACCAAACGGACCCTTATTGAAAAAGAGCATAGTTTTGAAATAACAGCTCAAATGTCCAACTTAATTAAAGATCTGTTAGATTTTATAAGTTCAAATTTCAATAATTCATCTATAAAACAATTTCTTAGTTCAAAATCACATTTTTATTGAAATTTGGAGGAAAATCATTTACATTATGATGCCAATTTTTACTTACTTTAGGACATGTTAAGGAGTTCATGTACAATTAGTTACTTTTGAGAATGTGGGATTGCAGGATACAACCGAGTTGTAACATCTAATCACAATCTTTGATTTTGTGCTTCCGCAACTCCAAATCACTATAATAAAATGCTTGGTTACTTCTACTCAAATACAAATAATTAGCAACTCTATTAAAGAAGTTAGTCTCTGATGACACAAGTTCTTTACTTGTAAAGGCGATTTACAATAAATATTAAGAGAGTCAAAGACTCAAAGTGGAAAAGAAAATTACTCATTTTCTTTCTCTTGTTCGAAACTATGCACAAAACTAGATTCATGTATTACACCGTAAATTATAAACATAAAAGGACACATTATTAAGCCCATGTTTGACTATTTTTATTTCAAAATTCTTTATTTCTTATTCTCATTTTTAACTGCACATTTACACAATAAAATATTTAGAGCGTAAATCCAAAAAAAAAATTATACTTTCTAACTACACATTTAAAAAAAAAAAAAATCATTATTTAAAACATCATTTTCTTCTAATTTCTTTTTATAATGGCATCAAACGGAGGCTAAGAGCCTAGAATGAATATGTTAAAGGGGAATTTATGAAAATATCCAATTCCATACTTATCAATTGAAAAGTGCCTAATTTTGATAACTTTTGCAAAAATTGTCATATTTGGTATCAAATTATCTATTATATCCTTAATGAAAATGAAACAATTTTTCCTTCAATTTGTCACGAATTTCAAGAACAAATAGTTTCCATGAGAAGTTACATTAATGCTAGTTAATATCTAATGGATTCATTTGCCTTTATTATCTATTAGGTATTGACCAATAATTTTAGGAAAAAATGAGGAAGATGAAGTAGAAAAACCATTAAGTGCTTGTTTAGTAAGAATTTTGATAATTGATTTTTTTTACCGTTAGAGATAAAGTAGGTTCTACCTGTGAGAGAAGAATTCAAAAATAACTATATACTACAAATTCATAAGAAAATCATATAGTTTCATTTCAAGAAATTTAATTTCACCAAATTTTCAAGTTGATTATGCTCTGCACTCTTGGTAGAGTGTAATTTCTCTTTGAAATTTTGCTTTTGTTGATATGTTGTGTTTAGTAGTTTTTGTTCTTGACATTTCATGATGTTGTCAATTTTTTAAAAGTTGTTATCGACATTTAGATACTGTTATTTGGACATTTGATAATTCATTTGTTTAGAACGAAATTTCTTTTCGAGAATTTAATTTCATCCAAATTTTCAAGTTGATTATGCTCCGCACAATTCTTGGTGGAAAATAATTTTTCTTTGAAATCTTGCTTTTGTTGATAAGTTGTATTTAGCAGTTGTTCTTGACATTTCATGACGTCGATGACATTTTAAAAGTTATCAACATTTGGATCATGTTTATTTCGACATTTGATATTTCATTTGTCTAGAACGAGATTTCGTTTTGAACGCGAGAATTCTCTACATTTCATGACATTTTAAATGTAATTCTTGATATTTCATAAATATTTTATTTATCCATTTACAGGAGAAGTGAGCATTTAATACATAATGGACATGGTACTTCTTTAAATAAGTTATGTGTCAAGTTATTAATGACCAAGACAATTGTTAATTGTATGAATAATTTTGTACTCATTGTGGAATTTAAAATTACCAATGAGGGCATTTTGATAATAAACAAAATTTGGAACATGTAGAAGTAGGCGAATCCCTCTTGTTAGATCATTTCTGGAACACACCCAAGAATATTTTAGTTAGAGGAAATTTCACATCATGTCCATTTTCACCTCGTGATTTGCAAAAATGTCCATAATTACAAAAATGTCTATTTTGAAAGAATTTAGACCAAAATATCCTTATTAACAATTTATAATTTCACACTAAGAAAAAAATGAATATTTTTGCAAAATTGTTATTGCCCAATAAAATTTTGACACATAACCTGTCATATTTATTTCAAAAGTATAGATGTCAAATCACAATAAATGTTATATTTTTTATTAACTCAGAAATATCGAGAACTACATTTCAAATGTAGAGAAATATTATATTCAAAATGAAATGTCATTCTAGACAAATGAAACGAAATGTCGAGAAACATTATTTTAATGTAGCTTCTTATGAAAGATACTTCTCGAAATTCGTGACAAATTGAAAAAAAAATCAAATATCGAGAATGACATTCAATTGCTCCATTTTTTCATTAAGGGCATGATAGATAAGTTGACACTAAATTTAAATTAGTGAAAACTTGTTCACTCAAACTCTTGAAATTGGACATTCTAGGAAACGCCTCAATATGTTAATGTGAAGCCAAGTCTGACACCCTCGTGCCGCCTCCACCTACGCGTCAATCATCCCACGTCCAATTTGTCTGCACCTACCACACCAAAAATGGGCCGCCAGGCGTCTCTCTCGTTGTTGCTGTACGTGTGTCGACTATTATTTTGTGTATTGCAATTGAGTTCCTAGTATAAAAACCCAAGAAATTGGAAGGGAAAGAAATCGATAAATTAGGATGAATTGATTGCTGCAGAGGAAGGTGCTTCATTCTCATCGCTTCACGACAATCTCTCTAAAATTTTCTTTCAGAGGGGGGCTTTTGAATTATTATTCTCTTCCTTTTTCATTGGATTCATTGGGTTTGGCGGATCCTGCTTGAAAATTAAGTGTCAGTTGATGCACAAATCCCTTTTGATTTTTTTATTCATTTTCTGTCTTATTTATAGTTTCGTGATTTCGGTTTTTTAAAGTTTAATTACTTTAGATCTGTTGTCAATAAGGTGCTCTTCATTATCATTGACCTAATTTCATCAATTGGGCATCGCCAATCTATACTTTTGTACGTGTATCTATTTGTTTGCTCTGTATATATAGCATGCGTTGTACTCTGATGAGTAATTGGAGCAAATTTGGAGTTCGTATTGTTATCTCATTTGGCCGAGTTATTAGTGCTAAATCCTTTGTAGTTGTATGATCACCCTAAAGAAATGTAAAAACTTGGCCTTTTATCAGCAAGATGATCATGGCAAATATTTGTTCAATTTCAATAGAAACACTCGAGGGAACGTTAAAATTCATTCTCTCGTTTGTGATGTTTGCTGTTTCGATATTGATCCATTCAAAGTTGACCTGACGTTATCTATCGAGTTGTCAAGTAATTTACATGTAAAACCATCTTTTGCTATATGCTGCTTTGTATAATATGAAATTATTTAATTATTATTAATATTTTTTGTAGATATCATGACGAAGCACACACCCAAGAATATTCTTATTACCGGTGCGGCTGGATTCATTGCTTCTCATGTTGCAAATAGGCTCATTCGAAACTACCCTGACTACAAGATTGTCGTTTTAGACAAACTTGATTACTGTTCCAATCTTAAGAACCTCCTTCCCTCAAATTCGTCGCCTAACTTCAAGTTTGTGAAGGGTGACATTGGCAGTGCTGATCTTGTCAACTATCTCCTCATCGCCGAGTCTATTGACACGATAATGCACTTTGCTGCCCAAACCCATGTCGACAATTCTTTTGGTAACAGCTTTGCGTTCACCAAGAATAATATTTATGGCACTCATGTCCTATTAGAAGCCTGCAAGGTCACCGGCCAGATCAAAAGGTTTATCCATGTAAGCACGGATGAAGTCTATGGAGAGACCGACGAGGATGCTGTAGTAGGAAATCATGAAGCCTCACAACTGCTGCCCACAAACCCATATTCAGCCACAAAAGCTGGGGCTGAAATGCTTGTTATGGCTTATGGGAGATCTTATGGATTGCCCGTGATTACCACCCGAGGAAATAATGTTTATGGTCCCAATCAGTTCCCCGAAAAGTTAATTCCAAAGTTCATTCTTTTAGCCATGAGAGGGAAGCCCCTTCCAATTCACGGGGATGGTTCTAATGTGCGAAGTTATCTTTATTGTGAGGATGTTGCTGAGGCATTTGATGTCGTTCTTCACATGGGAGAAGTTGGTCATATTTACAACATTGGAACAAAAAAGGAAAGGAGAGTGATTGATGTTGCCAAAGATATATGCAAACTGTTTAACATAGATCCAGACAAAAGCATTGAATGCGTGGACAATAGACCATTTAATGATCAAAGATACTTCCTAGATGATCAGAAGTTGAAGAATTTGGGTTGGACTGAGAGGACCACGTGGGAAGAAGGGTTGAAAAAGACCATGGAATGGTATATCAGCAACCCTGGTTGGTGGGGTGATGTGTCCGGAGCACTGCTTCCTCATCCTAGAATGCTTATGATGCCTGGTGGAATAGAAAGAAATGTTGACGGACCTGAGAAATCTGATTCTGGGAAGTCTGAGTTTTCAGGCAAATCTAATCAAACCCGAATGTTGGTTCCTGCTTCTAAGAGCAATGGTACATCTCAAAAACCACCCTTCAAGTTCTTGATCTTTGGTAGGACTGGATGGATTGGTGGGCTGCTTGGAAAGTTATGTGAGAAACAGGGAATTCCGTATGAGTATGGAAAGGGACGCCTGGAGGATCGCCCACAGCTTTTGGCAGACATCCTAGCTGTTAAGCCAACACACGTGTTTAATGCTGCTGGTGTGACTGGTAGACCCAATGTTGACTGGTGTGAAGGTCACAAAACAGAAACAATTCGAACCAATGTTGCTGGTACACTAAACTTAGCAGATGTATGCAGAGAACATGGGCTCTTGATGATTAACTTTGGCACTGGCTGTATATTTGAATACAATGCCACACACCCTGAAGGCTCTGGGATTGGATTTAAGGAGGAAGATAAACCCAATTTCAGCGGTTCTTTCTATTCTGAGACCAAGGCCATGGTAACTCCCCCTTTCCCTGTGAAATTGTGCTTGCGTAAGAATTGTGTGTTTTTTCTATTTATATTTGAAATTATGAATAAGCAAGGATATATGCTCTATTTGTCTTGCTAATCAGGTGGAAGAACTATTGAAGGAATACGACAACGTTTGCACGCTCAGAGTTCGAATGCCGATATCTTCAGACCTGAACAACCCACGCAATCTCATTACTAAGATTTCTCGGTACAATAAGGTTGTCAATATTCCCAACAGTATGACCATCTTGGACGAGCTTCTTCCTATTTCAATAGAGATGGCAAAGCGGAACCTGAGAGGCATATGGAACTTCACAAACCCTGGAGTTGTCAGTCACAATGAGGTTTTGGAGATGTACAAAAAATATATTGATCAGGATTTCAAATGGGCGAACTTCACACTTGAAGAGCAAGCTAAGGTGATAGTTGCTCCTAGAAGTAATAATGAAATTGATGCCTCCAAGTTGAAGAAAGAGTTCCCCGAGTTGCTGTCAATCAAGGAGTCCTTGATCAAGTATGTTTTTGAACCCAACAGGAAAACCCCCGTTGAATAAGCACCTCAAGACTGTCAACACGAGTGTTGGTGCTGGATTTTGCATCAGTTAATGTGGTCCCCATTACCTTTTTCTACGTTCTTAGCTTTAGCCATTGATAGTTCTTGGTTACAGCTTATATTTGTGGCTTTTTTGATTTATAGAGGTTTTTACTTTGTCATGGATAATGTTTGCTCCTATATCTCTTTTCCATTAGCACGCTGGGGTGTAACATACGGTGTACTATTATGTGAAATTTTTGTACTTGATACTACTACTTCAGTTCTAGCATGCAAGGGTGGGGATGTAAATTGGGATGTGCCTTAGGAAAAAATCAAATACGCAATCTTACAATACTCCTAGTTAAAATTAGGTTACAATTGCGCATAAAATTTCGATTGAGAGAGGATTTCCTTTCCTTATTCAACTTGGATATAATCTTCCTTTTCAAGTAAAAATCAAATACGCAATTTCACAAGATTCCTAGCTATATTTGAGTCATAAAACCTAATAATCTCCACCTTGACTCAAATTCCAATACAACAAGCAAGGCTCCACAAAATTTCTCCACTTGAGAAATGACCTCGTTTGCATTAAAATGAAATGCCCAATCCCCTCAACGCAGTAACCAAAACTCTCCATATAAATCATCGCCCTCTGCAAGACGTCCACAAGTGACACATGAACCCTACTCTCGGGTTCCCAAAATTTCATCAAGGAATTAATGTTTACTAAACAGGGTCGAAGCACATCCTGTAGCAGAAATCATACAAAATGCCCGAACAGAAGTTCCCTTGCTAGAACTATCGCCTTTAATGTCCCCAAAAGCATTACAAACATCACTAACACCATGGTACCTACGCTCAATAGATCCAACTCCAACAACTGAACACAGTGCAACTGCTGAAATTGGTGGCAAAGCGGAATCACCAACGATCCCTCGAGCAATGTTCTAAACTGACTGAAAACCCATCACAAAAGGTACTGTACCAAACTGAATATCCACCACAGTACTGAACTTGCCCAAATATCTCTTAATTGATTTTGTGCTCCCCTGCAATATGTACAACTGAGACCTTCTCCATCCCTCTAGTACAACCCGGACACCATTTCAGACCTTCAAGACTCCACCTCCACCAGGCATCCAGAGTACGAAGCGAGATGAGATTCCTTTTCAGGTTTGTAATATGTTGAACCTGATCAATTGTTCTGACTGTCCCGTCCCGCAGCCTAAATTTGACTCGATCGATCCCAGCAAAACTGGTTGTTTCTTATTACAACTCCACCTTGCTAAACAGTCTTATATGTCTAAAAGAAATTTTGATTGAAACATATACAAAGTGAACATGCCAAATCGAGAATCGACTCCTCGTCATGCCTAGATTTCTAGTCAGATACCACGATCAACATCACATCTCCGCCGTCTAAAAAATCCTCAACTACATTTGTTTTGTTTCAAGTCAAAGGTTGCGCTCTACGATTTACAGCTAAATCACCTTTAGCCTGCAACTTATTGCAATCCTTTCGAATATCCTTTACGTCTGCAGTAGAAGCAAAACAAATTGCTGTTATTCTTCGATCTGCTACTCTGTCGACCACTATGAGATACAAGAGCATCCTCATCCCTCGATGTAACTCCAACCAAATGCTTTGACTTCTCCTTTGAGTATAATGCATCATAGACGTTGTTTATAGTTAAAGTATTATGACTATACAAAATAGTGTCCCGAAATGATACACAAGAGCTAGACAACAAACACAACAGGATCAATGTCAGATCCTCTTCATCGCACTTAACCTCCAATATCTCAAGATCTGCAACTATTTCCTTGAACACAACAATATAGTCCTTCAGTGACCCTCATTCCATTATACGATGTGAATACATCTTCTGTTTTAGAGCCAGTTTGCTCGTGAGACTTTTAGTCATACATAGCTGCTTCAGTTTCAACCACAAAGTAGCCGCTGTTTTCTCCTTCAAGACATCCTACAGAATATTGTTGGATAAATGAAGATGGATCTGCGATAAAGCCTGCCAACCCTTCATTGTTTATCTTCCGTTGTCCAATCAGCTAGCATCTTCTCAAAACCCAACAACGCATCATCCAATTCCAACTACGATTGAATGACCCTCATCTTTACTTGCCACGGACAAAACATTGTATTGCGATCCAGTAGTGGAATGACATACTTCATAGTAGTCATCTCTCAAAAAATCTCAACCAATCCATAAAAAAACCAAGCTCTGATACCACTTGTTGGATCCAGAGGGATTGTAATGAATGAGATTAATGACACAATATAAAGTAATAAAGATCACAACAAGAAACAAGATTAAAAGTAAAGAGTGTTAATCACAGATGAACGATGTATATTAACTAACAATATGGATATAAATTACAAACACAGCAATAATGTTTAAATAAAACTGACAGATGTGTCTTGTATTTTTATAAGCCACATTCCAAATCCTAGAAGAGTCTTAAATGGTAAGAAAGGTTACAATTGCGCATAAAACTTCGACCGATAGAGGATTTTCTTTCCTTATTCTACTTAGACTAGTCTATCGCACGGGCAGGATTATTTTGAACCTCATATTAGCATTTTTAATGTTGATATGAGTTTAGTGTTTAAAGAAGAAGCGATTCAATTAGTTATAAAATTAATTATTTGAGGTAAACTATTTGTGATATTAATTTTGAAATTGAATGATTCAATATAGTAATGACAAAAATGAACAGTTTAGCTTTATACAAAGAAAAGCAGTAATTTTCACCAGTAGAAAAAAAAATTTGAAATAATTTTAAATCAAACAAATTTATACTGGACAAATTTTGAATAGAAAAAAAATTTCTCCTTTGAAGGAAAGAAAAGCAGTAATTGAAAAAAATTAAATTCAATCATAAAGAGAAAAGAATTTAAAACAAATTTAAATAGAAAAAATTTATCTATAATACGAACAAAAAATTTTAAAAAATAAATTAATCAATAATTTTCACCAGTAGAAAAATTGAAATAATTTTACATTGAGCAAATTTATATTGAAAAAAAAATTTAAATAGAAAAAAAATTGTTCTTTGAAGGAGAGAAAATCAGTAATTAAAAAAATTAAGTTTAATGAGAAAAGAATTTAAAAAAATTAAATAGAAAATAATTTATCAACAATATAAACAAAAAAATTTAAAAATTAAATAAATAAATAAAATAAATTTTCATCCATTGAAAGGAGAGACAATCTCTCCGTGGATGGAGATATGCTCTCCGTCAACGAAGAATTTTTTTTCTTATTTTTTATTTAAATTTTTTTTGTTCATATTATAAATTTTTATTATTTTGGATTTAAAATTCTTTTCTTTTTATGTTAAAATTTATTTTTTTTCAATTTTAATTAAATGATATTAATATATTATTTGTTTCATTTTTGTAATTCTAATTTGTTTAATTACATAATTTTTTTTAAAGTTTGTTTTGTTTATATTATAAATTTCATTTTCTTTTTAATTTTTTTCTCTTTATAGGTTGGGTACATTTTCTCTCCTTTAAAGAACTACAAATAGGTATTATATGCATCTTTGAATTATTGAATAAATCTACAATCCTCTTTACAAATGCAAACAACAACAAAACTGTAAGCACTACTAACTGGACCAAACACACTCAAAGCAAACTCTTGTAGGCCTCATTAAAAATAACAAACAATGAAAAAAAATTTAAGCTTCTCAAGTAAATAAGTGTAAAGAAAGAAAGATTTAACTAACTTTTACACACTCAAAAAAAAAAAAAAAAAAAAAAAAAAAATAAATATATATATATATATAATAGTGTGGACGATAATGGACTTTTACTATCTAGTCTTCCCGAGCCATAAGAAAGACTAGTTGGTCAATTCCTAGG